ATATATATATATATATATATATATGTATGTATGTAGAATTTATTTTTTATCAGACCCCCAAGCATCGGCTCGCGGACCCCTGGTGGCCCAGGACCCCAGTTTGAGAACTACTGCTTTAGATAACCTGGAAGAAAAGTAAACTGTTATGGTAGCCATGACCCAGGAATGATTATTTGTGTAGTGTCAAAGCAGTAAAGGGTCAGAAACGAACACATATCTCTGACAACAACTGTCTGTGAGGACCAGAGGACCAGACTTAACTTTTTTAGATTTTTCTACCTGGATTATTGAGCATGCATCAGGATATGTCTGTGACATAGATTTTGGAAATTTATACCGCTGGCGCGTTCATGAATGGGGGGATTCAGCAATTTTCTCTGTCTGGTTGACTTTTGTTTATTCCGTAATGAATCCCATTTAACTTTTTCTTAGAGTCAGTCTATTTAAATCATGAAGTTAGTAACCACTTCAGTGTTTATTAGTATATATGTATATATGCAAGTTTTCAAGGTTTTATAAAAAAAAAATTACCAATTCAAAACACTGCCAAAACCTGGCTAGTGTCTGCCTGATCATTTTTGTTTTGTCAGAATTCTGCTATGAATAAGTTTAAACTTTTTAAGAATTTGTGAGTTTTAAATGTCTGAAGAATATGAGTATGTATATTTTGTCTAGATTGTAACACCGATTCCAATTTGTCCTGCTTATGATAACTTTTACTACAGAAACGTGAAGGCATTTCAGGAAATCTAAAATGTGCATACCAACAATATCCTTGGCTATGTGCTTTCCAGGCACTTCAGCTGGCTCACTGAAACCAACTTTGTTGACAGCAGTGATGCGACACTGGTACTCAGACTTGTCAATGAGATTCTGGATGATGTAGTTGGTATCCTGCAGATTCCTGGGGACATTGCAGCGGATCCAGTCATTGGTGTCAGTTCTCTTGCATTCCACTAAGTATCCAATAACAGGGCTTCCACCATTGTTAGCAGGTGCAGTCCATGTAAGACTGATGGTGCTATGGGTGGTGTCAGTCACACTGGGGTTGATAACAGGTCCAGGAGGAGCTGGCGAAGAGCATAGTATGGAATTTTAGATGACATGGAAAAGATTTGATGTTAATAATAAATACTTAAAGTTTGGTGCAAAGGTAATATAAGTAATTTGATGGAGACTTACTAATGGGATTCTGTGCAGTGGTGCCAGCAGAAGGATCACTGGGTTTGCCAAGCCCAGCGACATTGACAGCAATCACTCTGAACTCATACTCAACTCCCTCTGTTAGGCCTGTTACTTCAAGTGTCCTTTCTGTTATGGGCTTTCTGTTCAGTTTGCTCCAGTTCATCTCTTTGGTCTCCTTCTTTTCTAGCATGTAACCCAGGATGGTGGACTTTCCATCATCAGAAGGTTCCTTCCAACTTACTGTCATATGGTCTTTAGTCACATTGGTGATCAGCGGTGCTTCACAAGGACCGGGAACAGCTGAAAGTTATACCATAATAAAAATCTTTGTTTAGAGACTTCAAATACATTTTAAGTTACATTTACAAAATCCAGACACAGTGAGCCAAAAGCCTGTTGGTATATGATGTGTCTGACAAATGTTTTGATGCAGATGGTGCTTGTGTCTCTATTCTAATAAAGGTTTAGGTATATTAACCGTAGCAGTTCTTTGTAAACTTGATGCATCAATTTGGACTAAAAGATGGTGAGGACTCACTGAATGGGTTCTTGGCGATGGCTGGGTGGGTGATAAAGGGGTCTCCAACCCCCCACATGTTTTCAGCACGGATTCGGAACTGGTACTCATGACCCTCAATTAACTTCTCCACATTAAACTCCAACACATCACCCTTAATCTTGGTTGAAACTTGGGCCCAATCAGTCCTGCTGGTCTCACGCTTGTCAATAATGTAGTTGGTGATAGGGGCACCGCCGTCTTTCAAAGGAGGTTCCCAGGAAAGCTTGAGACTGTTGGCAAACACCTCAACATACTTGGAACTGGCAGGGGGGCCAGGAACATCTGAGGAGACATAAATCTGATATTAATGCTCATGTAAAATTAGATGTAAATCTATTGTTGGTAGGATCTCAACAAGTATCCTTACATTTATAAATGTTAATACTTACCAAGTATGACAACCTGAATCTCTTCTGTCTTGGATCCACTGGCATTCTCAGCCAATATTGTGTAGAGTCCTGTGTGTTCTTTAGTAACTGATGTCATCTCTAGCTGAAAGTGATGCCTTTGTTGGGTAATGACCTGCCCTTCACCTGATTTCAGGTTGTCATCACCTCTCTTCCAAGTGACTCTGGGCATAGGTTTACCAAACACATCAGCTTCCAGAAGGATTGTGGTTCCAGCCTTCACCTTAAAACCCTTTTGCATCTTTGCATTGAGCTCAATTTTTGGAGGAACTGTGTTTATAAAAGATGACAGCAATAAATAAGCAACATAGCTTGTCATTTTAGAAAAGTTGTTATGGTAAAAACAATATTTACAATAATGTTTTCATTATTCTGGCTAGTTTAATAGTTTTGTCATAGTGTTCAATTAAAAATGCTTACCATTCTCAGCACAAACCAGAACTGGGTCTGTGGGCTCTGAGGGTTTGCTCATGTTTACAGCAGTTTTGGCAATAACTCTGAATTGGTACTGTAGGTCTCTTTCAAGACCAGTCACTGTATACTCCTCCCTTGGGACGTTTTGACTGCTGGTATTGCAGCGTATCCATGAATCTCCTGGCACCCGCATCACCTCAACATAGTAGCCTATAATTTTGCTTCCACCATCATTTTTTGGGCGGGCCCAAACTAAAGTTACAGAGTTCTTGGTTACATCCAAAACTTCAGGTTTACCTGGGGTGTCTGCATTGCATAAAGACAAATGAGTTAAATAAGCAGACTAATTGAATAAATCATTACTTAGTGAACAGATGATGGTGGTAAACTTACCAACAGGTGTTCTAGCAGTTACAAAGTCAGTCTTCTTGCTTGGTTTACTCTGGCCAGCACGGTTAATAGCTGATACTCTGAAGGTATATTCCAGGCCCTCAATGAGACCGGCACATGGGTACTCAGTGTTACGTACGACAGTGTCATTGGCCTTCACCCACAAAAGACTATTTCTTTCCTTTCGCTCAATGTAGTAACCTGTGATGGGACTGCCACCATCACTGTCAGGTTTATCCCAGGCAACAAACATACAATCTTTGTTGGTCTTGTTGATGCGGCAATTTAGGGGCTCACTTGGAACATCTAGTGATAACATACAAACAAACTAAATTACAAACAGAAGTTGGATCTAAAGCTAACCATACTTGGGGCATATTACACTCACACCTACCAAAGGGGAACTTGGCGACCATCCTATCAGACTGAATCGAGTCTGACACACCAAAGCGGTTCTCAGCACGAATGCGGAACACATACTCTTTTCCGGGAACAAGTTTTCCCAATCTGCAACTGGTCTTTGAACAGGAAGAGAGGGCTGTCACCCAGTCACCTCTACTTACATCACATTTCTCAATCACATAGTTTGTGATATTGCTTCCCCCATCTTCCAGGGGTTTGTTCCAAGACAGAGAGCAAGAATCAGCATCAATGTCACTGATCTCTACAGGGCCTTCGGGAGGACCAGGGATATCTGAAATGCATAGAATTGTATGTTGAGTCATCTTTATTCATTCTCTGTTGCAGAGAACCAAAATATAAACTATTTATTTTCAAATGAGCAGGACACACCTCTGATGACAATTTTTATCACTTGAGAAACCTTTGCAGTGCTGTTTTCAGCCACAAGACTATATTCTCCGCTGTCAGTCCTTGTCACATCTTTGATGATCAGGACACATAAGTTTCCAGACTGGTGCACGGCCAAACGACTGGATGGGACCACTGAATTCTCACCGTGCATCCACTTACAAGTTGGGGAGGGTTTCCCTGAAACCAGGGCCTCCACTCGAAGTTTGGCTCCCGCTCTAGCACTTGCTGTTTCTGGCATAACAATCTTTGGCTCCACTGTTGTTGAAAAACATTAAGAGATTATTTCAATTATACAGGAACATTATTAAAATAACAAACAGCTGTCACATTAAATCCTGTGACTAAGCCTAATTATTTTTACACTATTAATTTAAAATTTATTTTGATTGTGGGACAATAAAAAAAATAAAGTCACTACAGTTTTTTAAAATTCTTAGTCCAATATACCAACATACCCATCTGCTCTTTGATCTCGACCGGTTCTCTTGTTTCTGTGAAGGAGCTGAGGCCCATGATGTTCTTGGCAGCTACTCTGAACTTGTATTTCTTCCGCTCTTTTAGTCCACTGACACTGACTGTTAAACCTTTAACTGTTGTGTATGCATTCCACACTTCCTTCACAGGTTCTTCTTCCTCCTCTATTTCTGGTGGAGGGGGTGGAGGAGCTTCCTGTCCCTCAGCAACCTATGGTGAGTGGATTTAACATTTGAAGCTTAGTGATTCAGACTTTAATAGTTTCAATAAGAGCATATGTCTGAAATTGAAATTGCAATTGAAATTGAAACTGAATTGCAAAACGTCAAAATGGTTATACGTACAAAATGGAAGTAAGACTTTCAACACATTTAATATGGAAGATTATGTTTTTCTTTTTACTCAAATGTTAAAAAAATCTAATTAAAAACATTTAAAAAATCATGATGCGGTCTGAAAACATTCGCTCGATTACTAACCTCCACAGGGGCAGGTGGCTCTGGAGGAGGTTTGACTTCAATATATTCAATTACATAACCATCAATCTTGGCTCCACCATCTCTTTCAGGCTTCACCCAGCCAACCAGAGCACTGTTTTTAGTTATTTCCAGAACTTCAATTTTTTGACAAGGGTCAGGCTTGCCTGAAACAAAAATGAATGAGTTGAAGTTTTTTTTTTTTAATTTAGTGGGGAAAAAAAAGACTTAAGACTTATCAAGGGAGTGTACAACTTTAAACTGAATGTGAGCTTTTCCTTATCATGTGATGTGCAGTGATTAAATAGATACTTACTGACAGGATCAGAGGCCAGGTAAGATGTAGGTGTTACTCTAGGAACTCCAGAGCCATACTCATTGACAGCTGTGACTCTGAAGTAGTATTCAGTACCAGGCATCAAACCAGAGACTTTTAAGGGTATCTTATCTAGTTGAACTTCAGTCTTGACAGTTGCCCATGTCTTACGGTCAATCTCACGCTTTTCAACAATGTAGTGTGTAACCTCACTGCCACCGTTGATCTCTGGAAGATTCCAGGACAACATAACCGATGTCTCTTTGATATCTGTAGCTTCGAGGTTCATTACAGGACCAGGAGTATCTGTTAAAAAAAAAAAGGACATTAATTTACTTATTACAACAATTATTTACACTTGTGTGTTTTCTTGATGCACGGAAAAAAAACTACAATTTGATAGATATTTGGTAGCAGTGAAGCAAATATTTTAAAAAGCAGACTTACCCAGAACCTTGACATTGATAAAAACGGCCTTCTCTCCTGCAGTGCTCTGCAGAGTCAGGCAGTATTTGCCAGAGTCATTTCGGGTGGAGTCTGGAATGACCAGGAAGGTCATTGTGTCGATGATATCAACTTTACCCTTTCTGACCACATTATCAATACCCATTCTTCTCCATGTGACAGTGGGAGGTGGCCTGCCTCTGATAGTGGCACACAGTCTAATGGGACAGCCAGCTCGAACTGTCAGACCTTGCTTAAGATTGGCATCCAAGTCAGCCTCTGGTGCCTCTGTTGAATGAAATAGAGGCCAATGATAGACACAGATTTTTATACCAGGTCATAAAACATCCTCAAAATGATATGTTTGGTGTTCACCTTAAAGCAGAGTAACATCCAATAATCCTTACCTAGAATATCTCGTGGAATCACAGCACCATCCAGATCACAAGGCAGACTCATGCCCACCTGGTTTTGAGCTGACACCCTAAATTCATACACAAGTTTCTCATCAAGACTTGTAACAGTGAACCCACACACAGTAAGCTGCGCTGCAACATTGCATCTCCTCCAGCCGTCATCTCCTTTCTTTGCAGTCCCTTGTGCCCGCATCTCTACAACATAGCCAATGAGAGGAGCTCCTCCATCAGACACAGGCTTGGTCCAACCAAGAGTGACTGTGGTTTTGGTGCTGTCCACAACCTTCAAATTGGTAGGAGGAGCAGGAGGCTCTGTAGGTAGAAAAAAATTGTAAGTAGCAATGAGCTTTGTTATGGTGGAAACAAAGCATGTAAATTATTGTTGGTTACATACCAAGCGCATCTTTTGAAGTGACTGCACGAGAAGCCTTGCTTGGAGAACTAATACCAATTTCATTCACAGCCTTAACTCTATATTGGTAATCATGAAGTGGCAATAGTCCTGGAACAGTAAAACGACAACCAGGGACTGGATCTTTATTAACAGGAGACCACCTAATGGCATGCTCTTCTTTCTTCTCCAACAGATACCCAATGATTGGCTTTCCTCCATCTTTTTCAGGCTCAGACCATTGCACAGTCATTTCTTCTTTGCCTATCTTGGTTACCTCTGGTGCTTCCGGTGTATCAGGTACACTGAACTGGGTGCCAGCAACAATAGCCTGACTTTGAACTGCCGGTCCAGGACCCATCTTATTTTCAGCTCGAACTCTGAAGATATATTCATTACCTTCAATGAGTCTGGTTACTTTTGCTTTGTTGGTGATAACAGCGTTAGAATGGACAGACCAAACACCTCTCTTGGTCTCACATTTCTCAATAATGTAGTTGTAGATATCGCAACCACCATCATCTTCTGGGACTTCCCAGGCCAGATGGCACCTGTCAGTTGTGATGCCAGATACTTTGAGATCCCTGATGGCCCCAGGCCTATCGAGTACAATCACTTTAGCATTATCAGAGCTGGTTCCTGCACTGTTGGAGGCAGTAACAATATATTTTCCACTGTCACTGCGTCTGGCACCTGTAAGCAACAACTTAGAGAAGTCTATACCAGTTTCAATTTGAAGCTTGGGACCTTTCTTAATCTCTGTGCTCTCATCTTTTGTCCATTTGACATCTGGTTGGGGTTTGCCTTTTACTGTTGCTTCCATAGAAATAGTGTCTCCGGCTTTCACAACAAGGGATCTGTCAAGTTTAATCTTTACCTCAGGCTCCACCAGCTGTTCCTTAATTAATACTTCTGCTGTGGTTACCCAGTTACTTTCACCTCCCTCATTCTTAGTCTGAACCCTGAATTGGTAGAGTTGATTTTCAATACACCTATCTGCCATGAAGTAAGTCTCCTTGATGGCACCCTTGTGAAGCCTTTCCCACTCACCCTCTTTTGGTTTCTTTTCAATATGATAGCCAAGGTTACGACTACCACCATCATAATCAGGTTTCTTCCACTTCAGGAAACAGAAAGTCTTGCCTATTTCAGAAATATGGAAATCAATGGGTTCACCAGGTTTCTCAATGGGGTCAACTGCCAGAATAGGTGTCTTGGTCTCTGTAGATGGCCCAACGCCAATCTTATTTTCTGCACTGACACGGAAGAAATACTCACAACCTTCAGTAAGAGGAGCCTTTATTAGACGCTTGGTCCAATCATTAGAAACCACTGTCCATCCTCTTTGACTTGGCTGACGACACTCAATAATGTATTGAGTAATCTCAGTGCCACCATTATCTTCAGGGTTTTCCCATGAGACCATGCAAGATTTTTTTGTGGCGTAGGCTACTTTCAAATTCTGACAAGCTCCTGGTGTGTCTAGAACATTCACCAAAATGGTAGCTTGTGCCTGTCCACTGCTGTTCTTAGCGACAATAGCATATTTTCCATAATCTGATCTGACTGAGTCATTAATAATCAGTTCACAAACAGGGTAGTTGTTGTTCATCTCTGTGCGCTTATCTCGTGACAAGGCTCTGGCATCCTTAGTCCATGTGATTTCTGGATCTGGTCTGCCTTTCACTCTGGTAATTAAACTGATTATCTGACCTGCCCTGACTGTCACAGAGTCCCGGCAAGTCACATCAACCACAACTTCGGGGGGCACTAGAATGTCCTTTGCCAAAATTGTCTCAGGGAACTCTCTGGGCTCACTGTCCCCAACCTTGTTAGTAGCTCTGATGCGTAGTCTGTACTCCATTCCTTCAATGAGGCCAGGTACTCTGTAGGCACAGATCTTGACAAGGTCCTTATTGATTCTATCCCACTGGGCAGTTCCTGACTTCTGAGCCTCCACAACATATCCTAGAATTGGACTGCCTCCATCTCTTGTGGGCTTGGTCCAGCAGATGTCAGCATAGGATTTACTCCAGTCCTTCAGTTTAGGGTTACCAGGAGGTCCAGGTTTAGTGATTGCTCGAGTAGCTTTAATAGGGTCAGAGGTGAGTGAAGGCTCACTGATACCAGCAATGTTCTCTGCAAACACTCTAAACTCATAGCTATTGCCTTCAAACAGACCAGAGACTCTGTATCTTAGATCTAGCACCGGAGTTTTATTGACTCTGATCCACTTTCCTGTCATTTCTCTCCGCTCAATCACATAGCCACTGATGGGGCTACCTCCATCATACTCCGGCAGGGCCCATTCCACTGTTACAGCATTCTCTGTGATATCAGAACACTCAGGGAAGCCTGGAGGACCAGGAGGGTTGAACATGTGTTTGGCAATAGTAGGTGGACTCTCAAGACCAGCACCAATGCCAATTTTGTTTTCTGCACGGACGCGAACAATGTATTCACGACCTTTCTCTAACCTTGACACTTTGGCTTTTGTGCTGGTACCACTAGAGCTAACAACTGACCAAGGCTCCCATGGCTTCTTGACATCCTTTTTTTCGACCACATAGTTGGTTATAGGTGTGCCACCATCATCTTTGGGTGCCCTCCATTGTATCATCATGTGATCAGGGGTGACTTCCAAAATATTGATGGGTCCAATGGGTGGTCCTGGTAGATCCAGCACAGTGACATGTAGGGCTACTGTCTTGCTGCCTGCAGGATTGGACACAGTGAGCATGTACTCTCCAGTGTCTCCTCTTTGGCACTCCGGAATACTGAGGATGGTTGAGGATCCAGCTGTTTCAATATGATATCGGCCCTCAGATATGATCTCCTTGCCATCGCTCATCCATTTGGCTGTGGGAAGGGGGATACCTGTCATCTTAGCTGGTAAAGAAACAGTACTTCCAGCTTTGACAACAACACCCTCAATAAGCTTCACATCAACTTCAAGAGTAGGTGGCACTGAAAGAGAACAAAACAGAAATTGTGTTGTGAGGTTTTAACGCTTTACATAGCATCATACCTAGCTTTCATAGTGATAAACCCCCTCAGCATGTCTTACATGTCTTCTCCTGGCAAGTCACCGGAACACTAGTGTCAGGGCGGCTTACACCAATGGCATTCTGAGCTTTGACCCTGAAGCGGTAAGTTTTGCCTTCTTCCAGACCTGTCACATGGCTCTGGTTGTTGCTCACAGTCTTGAAGGTAACCCAGTCTGTCTGGCCATCTTCCTGGTACTCTACAATGAAGCCAGTAATTTCACTTCCACCAGTGCGATCTGGCCACTCCCAGGCCAGCCATACTTCTGTCTTCTCTACATCGGTGTGGTGGAGGTTCTTGGGTGGACCAGGAGGATCTTAAGGGTGTCAGAGAAACATAAATACTTTCTAATTAATAAGAGATTTAAATCGCTCACTAAGAATGTGTATAATACCATTTTCCTGAAATAGTAAATTAGGTATCATTGTTTATAGCCAGTGTCACATTGCATCTATTGTAATGTATTATAACTTTCACTCACAGAGAGGATCAACAGCCTTGATAGGTGTCTTAGTTACAATGAAGTCACTCCTGCCAAACTGATTCTCAGCAGCCACTCTGAACAGATACTGGATTCCTTCCATCAGGTACATGGCCATCAGACTCAGTTTCTTATTGGCTGGAGCGACAGGTACCCACTGATCTGCAGCTACATCTTTCTTTTGCACAACATAATGAGAGATGACAGCACCACCATTGTCTTCTGGAGCCTTCCATGTTAGGTAAGCAGACTCACTGGTCACTTCAGACACCATCAAATCCCTTGGAGGAGATGGCTTGTCTGATGGAAACAACCATGTATAAAATTAAGTCCATATGTATTCTGAATTTAAAAAGTATTTGTTCATTTGAGTTGGTAGAAATTTTACTTACTTAGCACAAGCACAGCAACTGTTGCTGATTTCTTTCCAGCTGCATTCTCAGCTGTAATAGTATAGTTTCCAGAGTCTGCACGGACACACTTGGGGATGAAGACTTTGCTGCCAGTCGTGGTAACAGCAACAGTGACGTGAGAAGGTACATCTCCATCATTCTTTTTCCAGGAAACTGTTGGTGTTGGTATGCCTTTAATGGTGGCACTCAGAGTGATATCTGTGCCCAGCATGGCTAGGTGGTCACGTGCCATGTTGGCATCCAAGAGTAATTCGGGCTCCTCTGTGGATTGCAATAAAAAAGTGTACATATTTTAGTAGATGATAGAACAAAAAGGCCAATAAATTACAGATAATTAAATTTGATAGATTGCATTTCCAAAAGCAAAAATGTACTATAATGTGTTCATGGGCTGAGTTACATGATCCTCCTTACCTAATCTGTCATGGACTTTGATGGTCTGTTTGACATAGGCAGGGTCTGATTTACCAGCAGCATTCACTGTAAAGACCCTAAACGCATACTCCTGTCCATCAGTAAGTCCTGTTACTACATAATGGAGATCTGGACACTCCTCTGGAGTTGCATTGGCCTGAGTCCACTCTATGGCACCTGGCTTCTGATACTCCACAATGTAGCCAAAGATTCGTCCTTTTCCATCATGTCGTGGAATCTGCCACTTTAGACTGACAGAGTCCTTGGTCTTATCGTAGGCCTCTGGGGTTACTGGGGGACTTGGAGGTACTGTGAGAGGAAAACAGTTCAGTCAGCTATAAATACAATAAAGAAATAAGGACGGGAATACAAAGTGTAAAAAAATATGAGAAATGTGTCAGACTGACCAATGGGATCTTTAGCTAGGATTGGTTTGGATGGGGGACTTGGATCTCCGGTTCCCAACTCATTCTCAGCCATCACCCTGAATTCATACTCGCAACCTTCCACTAAGTCCTGAACTCGGTACTGAGTTGCTGGGTAAAGTGGATCTCTGGTTACTCTGGACCACCTCTTGGCTCCAGGTTCCTTCTTTTCCAAAATGTAGTTGGTGATAGGCTTCCCTCCATCCCGAGGCCGGTTCCACAGCACCAAAGCACTGTTAGCATACACCTCTCTGACAGCTGGCATTTCAGGGGCCTCAGGGACTCCTTAGTGATGGAAAGAAATATATATATATATTGGAAGAATAAAAAATATTGCTAAATGAAACCACAGGAGAACATTGTTTATTACTCTTGAACCTCTCCTATGGTTTATGAGAAGCTCTAAGACAGTGGGAGGAACGTACTGAACAGATCTTTAGCTTTCATCTCCTCAGACTCTAAAGGGTCACTGATGCCGTACATGTTCTCAGCAGAGATTCTCATGATGTACTCCCTGCCCTCTGTTAGTTTGGGGATCTGTGAAAGGAGACAACACTGTAACATCTCTGAACTCTAGCAACCCCCTCCCGCTGGAGTCCTGAACAACAACACAACAAATTTCAGACCTAATTACCTTGCATGTAGTCTTGGTTGTGGCAGATGTTACTGTGGTCCAGATCTCTCTGTTAACATCTCTCTTCTCAATGATGTAATTAGAGACCTCGACACCACCATTGTCTAGAGGAGGCTTCCATGAGATCACCATATACTCCCTATGCACCTCCTCAAACACCACAGGACCAACAGGAGGAGTTGGTCGGTCTGCAGGGAATGGGAAAGGATAAAAATGTGGTTTGTACTGCTGATGACATCAACCAAAGTTTACTTTACAGTTCCGAACATACCAACAACTGTGATGTTGCTGACTCCTTTCCTGGATCCGGTACTGTTTTCCACAACCACAACATACCTTCCACTGTGCTCACGCATGGCCTTCATCAGGCCCAGTGACAAGGTAGTTGGTGTGTTTTTGAACATAACATGTTTGTCAGCCTTCAGCTCTTTGTCATCTCTATACCAAGTAATAGACGGAGCCGGTTTGCCTGTGTAGCGGCCCTGCAGCAAACAGCTCTCTCCCACACGAACGATGATCTTGTCACGGAAGTCCAGCTCAATGGTTGGTGGCTCTGTAAGGACAGAGAATCAATTTTAAAAATTCAAGAGTATTTTTAAGGTAGTCTATTTGTATATTCTTTTTAATGTTTGTTTTTCATTTTCATTTCCCTAAATGAAAGTAAAAAGATGCAGGAACCACTGCAGGCAACAATTGCAATATTCAACCATATTTAAAGTTATTAATGCTATATGTTTATCTGTATAAATATATAGTCACTGTAATTCACCATGTTTAAATCCTGGATTTCAAGTGTTTAAATTGTAAAATTACAGCCACAGACATACATTGGCATTATATAGCCATGATTCAACTGTATAGATGCAAAGCTGTAAAATGAGTCACCTAGTTCATCCTTGCAAGTAATCGGTTTGGTGCAGAAGGACGGTTTGCTTGGTCCGATTTCATTCACAGCAATCACCCTGAACTCGTAGGTGTCACCTTCCCTCAGGCCATCATATGTGAACTTCCTGTCCATCAGCTTCTCCTTTGTCAGTCTGGTGAACTTGTCCTTGCCAATCATACGTGCCTCTAGGATGTACATGGTGATATCAGAGCCTCCATCATATTTGGGCTCTTTCCAGGTGAGGCAGATGGTATCCTTAGTAACCTTGGTAACCTCCAGTTCTTCTGGGCGGTCTGGCACACCTGAAGACAAAAATGAAAATATTTCTTAAATCTGACGATAGAAGGCAGCTTAATGATGGATGATAATTTACAGTGATATTATTTAAATGTTATTCTTGTTATTTAGCAAACACTTTTTCATAAAGTAACCTGGAAAGTCATTTTGCCCCAATCAACAAATGATGAGATGAATTTTGGGAGAAGGCAGGGCTAAGCATCAGATCATAAAACTTCCACTCTGCCATTCAGATCCTGTTTACATATTTTTTTTAAATCTCTGATTCAGGTGCAAACAGCATTTTTGTGACTTGATACAATTGTATAACAATCAACTCTTTTCTAAGTGGAAATTAATAAAAACCGTTTTTTGGGCATGTTTGTACTTTATGAACTGAATTATTGGTGAAATGATGATACCATTGTCTTCTTTGGCCACTTTTGTTTTGATTATTAGGCTTGTGACACGATGGAACAGCACAATACTGGAAACCTGGCATTACATTAGAATTGGTTAACTGTTCACTCCCTGTGAAGTGGACTGAGTAGTAAAGTGGGGAATTTGATTACAGCAAGTGTTAGTAAAGACGATTCCGAAAACACATCTTCCAAATGAAAAAAAACAAGTATGTTTGTGGTAAACATGGAAAAACAAACAAAAATAGAGTAGGGTTTATTGTAACAAGCTATCAAAGGACGTTTGGATTAATTATTCCAAAGAAGCCTTTTGGATCTATAAGGTATGGGACCAAGAGCAGAATCAGCTACATACACAGGAACTGACTAAGTAGCAGTTACTAGCTATGCCACAGTGGGACGTCTCCTGGACAAACCTAACTGAACATGCACCTCATGTAACCAGAACAATAAAATAATTTCCATTTTGTCTGCAACTGGCTCACTTAGTTTTGATCCTGTCACCAACAAACTGTGGATGAAGGCTTGAAAGATTAATTATGGACAGTAAACATGGAATAGTGTCAAAGGAAAATAAATAAGTTACAGTTGTTTTGGGAGAACTTCTAGCCGTGCTCATAATTTGATGTTTTTACTTCTATTGGTGCAGCATGACTAATTTAGCATCTTGTTGACATTTTTGCTTCTCACCTGGATGGAAGTATTTTTTCAAATTAAATAAATTTGATTGTATGAATCTCTGAAAATGGGAGAACTTCTCTAGTCCTGATTCTTAAGCGGTGAGTTTGATGTGAATCCCCTCCCTGTCTGAGACCAGTGTTTACCTATGTATCTTTAACCATACTCACTGATTGGTTCCTTGATGATGAGCTCAGCTGCTGTCTCCACAAATGGTCCAATGCCGATGGCATTCTCTGCAGCCACTCTGAAGAAGTAGGCCTTTCCGAGGGTGAGGTCACGAGCCACAGCATTTTGTCTGCTGGCCGTATATGAGAGTGATGTCCAGGCTTTACGCTCAGCTTCACGTTTCTCAATGATATAGTTGCTGATGGGAGAGCCTCCATCATTCTCAGGGAAGAACCAGTTCAGCTTGCAGGAGTCAGTGCTCAGGTTCTCAGCAATAAAAGGAATACCAACAGGCCCAGGAACATCTATATTAAAACAGAGGTGAATTTATGAAACCAAATGGTTGTCAGATAGTCTTATCAAAATAATTCAGTGATATGAAAGCCATCTCTCACCAAGGACTTCCACAGTGATGCTCTTTGTCTTTTCCCCTCCAGCATTCTTAGCAGTCAGCGTGTAGACACCGAGGTGTTTCCTGGCACATGGTTTGATGACAAGTGAAGAGCTGATGGCCGTGGTCTCCACTTTTGCCTCCGGAGGCAGTGCAGCTCCATTTCTGCCCCATGTAATGTCAGGTGTTGGCTGGCCTGACACATAGGCGATGATCCGGATCACACCGCCAGCATGTACCACAATCCTTTCCTTCACCGAGGCATCCAAGTCGACCTCAGGAGCAACTACAAAGGAAAAAAAAAACTCCTCATTACTGTCTGTTTCACACGGTTTCAGTATGTTTGTTTTTGGTGCAACAGTTGATCTTAACTCACTGGTTCTGTCATTGACTTCGAGCACCTCTGGGACTTCCCCTGGCTCACCATTACCAGCAGCATTGAAGGCAGTCACCCTGAACCTGTACTGACCACCAGTCTTTAGGCCGGTGATCACTAACCGAGTGCCTCGGACTTCAGTCTCCTTAGCCTGAGATAACGAAAATATTTTTTTAAGATTTGTCTTATCACGGATCTGTCTCAAAAACCAAATGGAAGACTTGATGCATCTTTTTTAATGTTATAAATGAGTACTTTTATTTCATCAAACTACCATGAGAAAACGTTTATTTTGAAAGACAATGTAAGGTGACTCTTTTTCTTACCTTGACCCAGGTCTCAGTGCCCTCCTCTTTGTACTCTACCCAATAACCAATGATCTTGGAGCCTCCATCCTTCAGTGGTGGGATCCATTCCAGGTCCACTGTAGATTTTGTCCAATCAGAAATCTTGGGCGTTGGAGGAGATGGGGGGGCTTCATAAGGATATAGGCAGCTAGTTATCATTCCACTCTGTGTACTTACAGAGAATAACAAACTTGTATAATTTAATTTACTTACATGTGGGGTCTCTAGCAAATACAGGGTCTGTTGGGGGGCTAGCCAGTCCAGGTCCGGCAGCATTGATAGCAGAAACTCTGAATAAGTACTGAGATCCTTCAACTAATCCACTTGCTACAAAAGTTTCCCCCATGCCCATAGGACGAATGGGGTCTCGGGTAAAACGGGCCCAGCGTTTGCCAGTGGTCTCTTTGCGCTCCAGCCAGTATCCGGTGATAGGGGTACCGCCATCATCCTCAGGCTCCTCCCAGTTAATGGTCATGGAATCCATGGTGATGTTAGTTACTGTGGGCTTCTCACATTGACCGGGGACAGCTGAACACAGAGAAAAACAACATATGGATTTCAGTTCTGTAAAGAAACCTGGTTCATGTCATATAACTTTTTTGTTTCCTTCAATCATAGGGAAAATTGTGCAATCAATACTGGTTACCAGTTTGACTAACATAACTTGACTGTTGGACTCATCAGTTTAGGGTTGAGTACTGATACAAACAATAAAGACTGGTAAAAAACCATCATGGTAAGAGGCCATTTTTAACTGGTGTGTCTGTCAGTGTTTGAAACCACATTAAAAAAGAATCATTGACACAGTTCCTAATCCCTTTTACATAACCAGCCCATAGTGGTGGCGTTGTAACAGACATATTTGACCTGATTCCTGTGTCTCACTGCTGAAGGCAGCTAGAGGGACTTTGAAATCCCTGTTAGAAGATTGAACTCACTGTAACGATTCCGGGCGACCTCAGGCTCACTGTCCAGTGGCTCCCCAACACCATATTTGTTCTGGGCCATGATGCGGAACACATACTCATGTCCCTCCATGAGATTTTCTACTGTCCAGATCCGATCTTTGGGCTCATTGGTGACAGGCACCCAGGTCTTTCTGTTGGCCACTCGCTTCCAGATGACGTAGTTTGTGACCTTAGAGCCACCATCATCCTTCGGTGGCAGCCAGGAAAGCGTGATCTTCTCAGCTCCAATCTCCTCAAATTTAATGGGAGCAGAGGGAGGACCAGGACGACCTGTAAAGATCAAATAAAATTTCTGTCATGAGAAACTGCTGCAGTTCAGATAGGTTATTGCTCCTTAAATGAGCATACTTTTGTAATTTTGCATGCCAGTTTTATGTTTGTTCATACCGAGCACGTTGAGTCTCATCTCCTTGGAGGTTTTGCCGAGACAGTTGGAGGCCACCAGCGTGTACAGACCAGTGTCAGGGCGTTTGCCCTGCTGGATGAGCAGTGTGCAGCTGTCGTCTGACACAATCTTGTTGATATGCTCATCATACTGAACCTCCACCTTGTCTTCAGGCTTGTGGGGTGGAGCCTTGTACCAAGTGAGTGTGGGGAATGGACAGCCGCGGAGCTTGGCTACGATGCTGATGTCTGAGCCCTGCTCCACCTCCATAAACTCCTTGAGCTCGATGGATGGAGCACCTGCATGTAAAAAATGAGAAAATGGGAGATTGTGACTTATTTTTAAAATAAATATTAGTTCTTTTCCAAACTATAAAGTTCCGCTGTTCAGTGTTTCCCAGACAACAAGTATATGCATCTCCACTTTGGGTTATGCTCAGGCTGGATGGCACCATCTGGATGTGGGCTTTAGCTGGGGGTTTCTTTGGGGCCCACTTGGATTAACAAAATTTTACCCAAGTGGGAACCCAGTGTAGGTCCAAACTGGGTCACAAAAAAGTTAATAAATGGTTCAACATGGACAACACATACAAATCCTACTTGGGTTTGTTAACGGACTTAGACATGAGTAAACCCATGTTGTACTCATATCGTACCAGTAATGAACTTAAAAATAGCACTTGGGCTTTGTGTTGTGCATGCTTTCCTGCACAGTCCTCTCAATGCTTAACACTGTTTTAAATGAAAACTAATTAAGCACTTAACACGGGGCTATTGTGAAATGTGGAAAACCCCACTCTTAGCCCAGGTTAGAACCCAGACAGATATTTTTTTCAAAATGGCGCCAACTTGGTGCCCAGGATTTCATAACATCAAAACTACACAGATAATTTCCATGGGTCCTTTGTGGATCTCACACACAATGCTATGTAGGACACAGTTTTAAGACTGTGTCCAACAAATACGGACTCCACTTATGAATGTTGGCTGGGATGAGCTGAAAAAAGTGAGTACAAAAATAGCTGTTTTTGTGAGATACAATGACAGAATTGAACATCATTAAGAAAAAAAACCAAAGAATACACTGTATTCCACTTTATTTTCTAATTATAGGAGATGTTTGAAACTATGTGTCTGGGAACTGACGTGTGATTGTTGGAACAAAATTTGAATCCTTCAGTTCTGACAGTAAGTCTCATTGTGTGCTTCATGTGTTCTTACAGGTCTGGTCCTGGAGCAGGACCGGTCCGGCAGTGGACGATGGTCGACTGGGGCCAGCCTCATTGTAAGCTATCACTCTGAACTCATACTCATCTCCTTCTGTCAGGTCCTCCACTTTGAAAGTTGTGGTGTCCACATCTCTTCTATTACACCTGCAATACATGACCCAGGTCACATCAAACTCACCACACAATCAGAAACAGTTCACTCTGTTCATACATAAAACATACATTATATATATATTTTTAATTAAGATTTTTTTCCCCTGACATACCTGAGTCCTGTGCTTCTGAAAAGGAGGAATCCAGTGTGACATACCAGTAAGTGCAGCTAAATTTATTTGAACTATATCTACATCACCTTGATTTAACCAGATAAAAAGCATTGAGATCAAAATCATTTTTCCAATTGTGACCTGTCCAAAAGATCAGCAGTACAGACTGTAAAATACTGTAAAACTCAATTATTTTACCCACATAAATGTCTTTTTTTTAATAAGTATGAGTGTGACATAATAATGATTTTAATAGGGAAACACAACAATGGTTAAACACTCCCACAACTATTAAAAAAACATGCAATATCTAAACATGTAGGCACCATCCAAATGTCTCAATAACTCTGTTTTTTGTTCAGGATTGAATGAAAAGTAAAAAAAAAAAAAAAAGAGGTCTGATGGGGAGATCTATGTCAAGCGTGCAGTAAATCCAAACTAGAGCCTGACCGATATGGAAATTTTGGCTATCGTTGATACTGATATTGGGAGGGGAAGGTTTAAGCCAATAACCAATATACTGGCTGAAATATAATAATCTAAGTAAACAGCTAGCTACTTTTAAACCTGTTTTAACACTTGGTAGTCTTGAAACAGTCTTGCTAACCTGAATTCACATTTTCTATCCTCCACTATTCACCATAAAGTTAGCAAGTGGCTTGTTCCGTGTTTATACCGATGGATAATGGGACAATCATCACCAATATGGATATATCCCCAAATGCCTACATGGGCCTAAACTATCAGCCCTACCAAGGCTCTAATCCAAAACTTCCTCTAGCTCTGACATGAGGAACCAACAGAGAGACAACGTTGTTAGAGCGTAACACATAGTGGCTGTTATGTCTTTGTAGAGATATACACAAATAAGATGGAACTAAACCCAAGAGGGTCTTGTAGGCTAGTCACCCTATACTGGTAGACAATGTCTAAAGACTGTAAACAAACCAGGTGACACCTGGTAGCCAGTGTTTAAGAACTGGAGACAAACCTCAGGACACTGTGGTAGACAGTGTCTAAGGACAAGAGACATTTGGACAAGGCACTCATTAACAGGACTTTGCCACAGGCAGTAAGGATATAAAGGGATCCGATACTGAGGTTCTAGTAAGTCTGAGTGAGAAACAAGATCTATTTATGTAAAAAAAAAGCAGCTTCAGCTTGAGTTTGAGAAGCAGAATAATGATAAAATGGTGACAGAATATCTCAAATCAAGAAAAATCTCAAGTATTTGTCATTTAAAATCAGTTCCAAATGTTTTACTTGTGGGTTTAACATTGATGGGATTTTCCCTGGCAACTCTCTTTCATTAGAAAAAAATATGAAATTGGTTTAGTCAGTTAAACCTGTTTACATTTTTGAATCCAAATTAAACAGGGAAAATCCAAAATAGAGCCGGGTGTTATTAGACCAGAACTTGCTTTGGTCCTCGTGTAAACGACCTCCTCACCTCCTCCAGGATTCTTTCTGAGTGCCACTGGAGTCCCAGCAGAGCAGATCCACGCTGTAGTGGGTGACGGGTGAACCTCCGTCATTCTTTGGAGCCTTCCAGGTCAGAGTCACTGTGCCCTTCCTGATGTTCTGAATCTTCAGTCTTGTTGGAGGATCCGGAGGATCTGCAGAGTCAAATTAGTGTTAAAAGTCACAGTTATATGTAACTACTGAAACACGTGTGTGAATAATACGAGATTAGAGGTCTGTAACATTTGATGTTTCAGTTCTGGTATAAAAAAAAAATACATTTTTTTTAACAGTTATGTATTTTTATTATTTAAAAATGTATTGTTTAAATACAGTTATTTACATAAAATAACAGATTTGCTGACAATGTCTAAATAAAATGTTTATCGGATAAGAATAACTGAAATTTTTGTCTAAAGTTAAATTTGTCATAAAACCAAATGATGATTGATGCATCTTTCTTAATGGGCTAAACAAGCACTTTTATTTTGTCAAGCTACCATAAGAAAACTTTTAATTTGAAAATGTCAGGCGAATCTTCTTGTTGATTGCTGTAATACTGTTTTTACCATATAACCAGTAAAGAAACCAGTAATGGCTGAAGAGGGCTTTAACGTACGGATAGGATCTTTGGCTTTGGTCCCTTCAGTGGTCTCAACAAATGGGCCAAACCCAAAGCGATTTTCAGCTCGAATGCGGAACAGGTACTCCTCGCCATGAATCAGGTCTGGAACCACCAGAGACTGAGAGGCGCACACTGGGTTCACCTGAAAAAGACAAGCTCAAAGTTTAACTTTGCCTACAAAGGTCAACAGCAGTCTGTTTTCTGATGGAGGCTGCCCAGAAGGGTTTGTACCTTGGTCCAGGCTTTGCCATCCACCGTCTTCTTCTCAATGAAGTAGCTCTTCACCCTCTCCCCTCCATCATTCTCCGGAGGTTTCCAGGTAAGTCTGCAGGTTCCCCTGGTCACATCACTTACTTTCAGGTCCCTAGGAGGTCCAGGCAAGTCTGCAGAACAACAAATGTTGTGATCAGCACACTCAAAAGCTTCCAGTCTGATTCTATATTTATTATAAACCCAGCTGAGCTGCTGTTCAACTTTGAGTCCTGTAATATTCTTTCTTGTTTTAAAGTGTCGGGTGTATGAGCCTCCATATACCGAGCACGTTGACCCGGACTTTGACCACTTTGTGTCCAGCCGGGCTCTCAGCATTGATGATGTATCGACCACTGTGGCTCATTTTGCCGTCAGGGATCACCACCATTGAAGTGGTGTCAGTGGAGTGGATCTGAAATAAAACAGAGGCAAACCGGTTATATACTACAATATTTTATCTGAATCACCTCATTTGTAACAATAATTTGTTCATCTGATAATCGATATGTTACGAATGAACCTCTGACCTCAGAGTCAATGGGCAGCGTGTGAAGGTCGTTCTTCTTCTCGGTCTCAGCAGTCCCATCTACGAAGGTCCAGGTGACTTTGGGAATGGGTCGTCCTGTGATGGTGGCAGGAATCCTGATGGTGGTTCCTGCTCTGCAGTTCAGCAGGTCATTAGCGTTCACATCCAGAGTGACGGTGGGTTCGACTGGAGGACAGAAACATTTTTACTGTTTACAACATGTTTACAGAAACACTTGGTTCTAAACTCGGAGGTGCAGCATCAGAACCAACAGAGAACTGATTAAAGTCCACATATCTACCTCACATGAACAGCTTATATTATTTGATGAACAGACTCAAAGTCTGACTGGTATGTGTGTGTGTGTGTGTCTGTGTGTACACGGGGGGGTGAGTTTCTTACTCAAGATGTCTTGAACCAGGATGTCAGCTGTCCTGGCGGGCTCAGAGTTTCCTGCAGCATTCACTGCATAGATCTTGAACTTGCACTTCTTTCCCTCCTTCAGGTCAGGGACAGTGATTTCGGTAGATGGGTGGAGCTTATCGGCTGGGTTTACCCTCCTCCAATCAGGAGAGCCCTCCTCATGAACCTCGATGATGTAACCTTTGATGGGGCTTCCGCCGTCTCGTTCCGGAGGGCTCCAGGTGAGCGTGATGCTGCTCTTAGTTTTGTCTTTAACCTCGGGGGCACCAGGTGGGCTGGGGGGGTCTGGGAAAGAGAAACAGGAGGTGTTTAAATCAGTCTGAGTTCTGGTGCCATGCTCTTTAAAGTTCCAAGTACTGAAATACTAATTCAATCAAAGTAAGGAGGCGTTAATTTCCTGGCAGCTGATACTGAAAAACACTGTTTCATGAGTTTTTATTTTGATAAATGCAGGAAGGTGTAGCTGCAGATTCCATGAACCTGACTAGAGTTCAAATGAGGAACACTCACTGCATGGATCCACAGCAAAGCGGCACTCGGTGGCCTCGCTTGGTGGTCCGAGTCCTGCAGCATTGCTGGCTGCGACCCTGAACTGGTACTCTGTTCCTTCTATGAGCCTCAGCACTGTGTACTGCAGGCCCTTCACTGCCGGCTTGGTGGCCGGGGCTCGGTTAACCCGACCCCAGTATACTGCACCACGCTCCCTCTTTTCCAGCCAGTAACCCTGTATGGTGGAGCCACCGTTGTCCAGAGGGGGGTCCCAGGTCACCGTCATGGTGGTTGCTGTGGCAGCTATGATTTTAGGGTTACGTGGAGGTCCTGGGAGGCCAAATGGATCTCGGAGCTGTACTTTCTCTGATTCACAGCCGTCACTAACACCGTACTTGTTTTCAGCTTTGATCCTGAACTGGTAAGCTCCATTTAAGTCCAGTTTGTAGACCTAAAAGACAAGAACAACATTTTTGCATTAGTTTCTTGGAGTCTAAGAACTGATATTTTGAACCAAAAAAAAAAAAAAAAAAAAACTGTCACTTTTTAAGATTTGATTAAATTATTGTTATCTCCTCAAATTGCCACATTAATGTGGTGGAGGCATTTGTGTGCTTGAATGATCCTAGGAGCTTTGATGTCTGAGGCATTGGAATTGCACCTGGTAGGGACTCCAGAGATCCAAGGCAAGATTGGTCTTAGATGACAGTCCAAAGATTGATTCAACACACTTGTATGGACAAAGACAAACAAGGAACTCAATGTCCCTTGTCCAGACGTGTGTTACCGGGGCCCCACCCTGGAGCCAGGCCTGATGGAGGGGCTCATCGGCAAGTGCCTGATGACCAGGTCTCTACCCATGAGGCCCGGTCGAGCTCAGCCTGAATGAGCAACATGGGTTTGCCTTCCTGTGGGCCCACCACCTGCAGGAGGGGCCATACGAGTCAAGTGCATTATGCCATGGGCGCTGGCCAGACTTACCAAAGCTGGCTCTATAGAACATAACCTCTCTGGCGGGAAAGGAGCCTGGGCTTGTGCGTGAAGTTGAGAGGCACCCACTAGATATATTTGGGCTCACCTTGACGCACAGCATGGTCTCCAGAACCAATCCCCCTGAGAAGGGCTGAACTTTATTCCACTCTGGAGTTGCTCATGGTGAGAGGCACTGAGTTGGTGTGGGTTTCCCTGCTCAAGCTGCTGCTCCCACAACTCGACAAAATTTTGTCCAAATAAAAAGTATTAACGGACAAAGATAAAATTCTCTTTGGATGAGTAGCTTTTATTCCAATTTGTTTTGTTTGTGACAAAACAATAAAATGTTTAAAAAGTTTTACTTTAGTAAAACTTAAGTTTGTTCAGAATATTCACAAAGTGCCAATTTCTCAACTTTACAGAAAAGGGGGAAAAAAATCTGTCCAAATTCAGTTAATTTCTAATCCTGTTCAGTTTAATATTTCGATTCAATATATTTTTATTTACACAAATATATTGAACCTTAGTTCTGAGGCCTGGTCTTTATTTCATAGATTTTCAATTCAATCCAATTTCAATTTGGTTTATTTATATAGCGCCAAGTCACAACAGAAGTCATTTCAGGGCACTGAACAGAAACATTCATATATAAAAAACAACAAGTTAACACCTAAGGAGCAGACTGCTTTGAATTTAACTCCATCACAGAATGGCTGAACATTAGATTTGAAATGTAACTGACCCCATATCTCCTTTCAATCAGGTTGATAGTCAGAACGTCAAAGTCTGATTTCTTCTTGCTGGCGTCTCGGCGCTCCACGATGTAGTTGGTTATCTCACTTCCTCCATTGTCCTCAGGGGCATCCCACGTCAAGTAGCACGAGTCCGCCTTGATGTCTGACACCACAATATTTCTCGGAGGAAGAGGACGGTCTGAAATTTCAGAAATGGATTGCTCAATGTGTATACAGATCAGACTTCATCAAATGTGAAACTGTGAAATAACTGAACAGACCTTTTACACATACTTGTGTCAGAATTTTACAATGCACTGTGGTCTAGATACATACATGCCTACTTACAGTTTATTGTCTAAACAGTGTTCATTTGTTTTAGCTGCTCTGCAGTAACTTTGACATCCAGCAACATTACAGGATGATAACATCTCGCTCTCGCAGTGTAATATAAAAGTAAACTCAAAACATTTGTGTATAAAGTTAAGAAAAAAGCAGGTGTACAGAACCAAAATAGTAGAGGTGAACACCAACCTTGGACACCAGAAATAGCTATGAATTAATTTAGCCAATTATATGCACGCTCATTATTAACTGAAAACAGGTCAATGAAAAGCTGATGCAGAAGGTTCTGGTTCTTACCGAGGATCTCGACTCTGATGACCTGTTGAGCTGTTCCATAACAGTTTTCAGCTACCAACTTATAGTTCCCTTTGTCCTGTCTGACAGTTTCTGGGAAAGCTATCTTTGTCCTCAGTGTAGTCCGGTTCACCTGAAGTAAAAGAATGGACATGCGGACATCGTGTCAAACCAAACAGACCAAAAAGTTACTTAGATTCTGTTGAATAAAGTAGTTTTATCTGTAGCAGCTGGATGTTAAAAACTGGTTAAAAAAATCTCTCTAAAGAGCATTAAAGCAACAAAACAAATGCTAAAATGGTTTAGTTGTTACCATCGCATATTCCTTAAGTTCTTTACATGTTCCAAACCCTGAATCAGGTTTTACTTCTCACCTCCTCTGTCTCCATGGTCATCTTGTCATCTTCAGGCACTTCAATCACCACATTGTCTTTCAGCCACTGGAGGGTTGGCAGAGGAAGTCCAGTCACCTCTGCTGGGATGTCGATGGCGGCTCCTTTCCTCACAATGATTGCGTTGCTCTTGAAGAATTTCAAAATTGTGATAACTGGAGAAACTGGGACCAGAAAACATTGATCAAATTTTTACTCTTTAACAAAATCAATCTTGCATTCCAGTTCTGACTGTGATCAATCTTTAGCTACATCTGAACGTACGTTCATCATCCTGGATCTTGACTGTGATTGGTTTGGATGGTTCTCCATCCCCAACTTCATTGACAGCTTTTACACGGAACTGGTACTCTTGGTTCTCAGAAAGGTTCTCGATTGTTCCACAACACTCTGTAAAGATCTTGCGATTAGCAACTTCAAACTCTGTGCCATCAGACCTCATCTTCTCCACATAATATCCACTAATGGGGCTGCCGCCGTCAGTGCGAGGAGGCTGCCAGGCCAGAGTGATGGTGCTCTTGGTTCTCTCAGTGTAGCGCAGTTTCTCAGGGGCAGATGGTATTCCTGAAATAATGTGGAAGATGTCAGCTAATGATTCTTGAAATATCAGGTAATGAATTCTCCAGGTTGTATATTAGTGTGTTTACCTTTAGGATCCTCAGCCAAGATCGGTCCCAGGTCTGATGGAGCTCCATCACCATACTTATTTCTGGCAAAGACCCTGAAGTCATACTCCTCACCGGCCAGCAAACCTTGGATGTCACACTTGCAGGATGCTGTCTCAATGGGCTGACGGAAAAGCTTCATGTTGGCATCTTTCCTTAGCACCTCATAACCGATGATGTCACTGCCTCCATTGTCCACAGGATCTGACCACGTCAGGACAATATTCTTCTTTGTCACCAAGACAGTCTTCAGATCAACCACTGGCCCAGGAACATCTACAAATACAGAAGTTGGTGAATAACTCTAATTTTGTTTCTTCCAAAACTACACTGTATCTTGTCGTCAGGAGTTTAACAAACATCTCTTTCACCCAAACATAAAAGAGCTCTTTAAAATGTCTTCACGATCAATCTATGCTGTAAACTGAGACCAGGAAAGATGAAACTCTGACTTTTCTTTTTTAGCTCAGATACAGAGCTGCCCCTCGCCATGTTAGTACTTGTACAAGTGGGTGTTTTGAGATGAAACACTGACCCATAACATCCACTCTGGTCTCTGCAGTCTTGGTCCCACTGCCATTGGTTCCAGTGATCTGGTACTTTCCATGGTCTGATCTCACAGCCTTCTTGATGAACAGAGTGCTCTTCTTACCCTCTGTCTCTACAATCATCCTCTCTTTGTCAATCTCAGCCTCATCTTTGGCCCATTTGATCTCGGGCTGGGGTCTGCCTGTCACCACAGCAGGAAGCTTCAGAGGATCGCCAGCTTTGATCATCACACCATTCTTCACAGAGGCATCAAAGTCCACAGCAGGAGATTCTGTGGGACACAGGCAATGGAAGATGTTTCTGAAAAGTGTAGTTCTCCTACACGTGCATCTGTAACACCCCTAGAGTCAAAATCAGTCATTGTACGGGAAGTGACTCAAGGAAAAGCTGAGATTAATTTTTGTTAAGAGACTTACAAAACAATAATCTTATAAATGATTTTCTTTTCGTAAAAAAATCTAAATAAAAGTTAATGATTAGCCATTTGTTCACAATGGTAGAGAGACAAAAACTATTAGTACCTTCAGGCTCTTTGACGGTGACAGGTTCAGTAACACCAGGAGCTCCAGGACCAGCATCGTTGACTGCAATAACACGGAAATAATAGTCTGCTCCCTCTGTGAGGCCTGTTGCTGTGTAGGTTAACTCCTTGCACCTGAACTCGGTGCAACGGCTCCAGTCCTTTTCTCCTGCCAATACCTGTGAAACCCCAGGTCAGGATTTAAGATTTCGGTCCTGCTGGTTAAACCTATATGTTTTTGGTTTTACAAGTCTTAGTGAGTTTGTTCAGTACCTTCTCAACATGGTACCCCAGAATATCCCCTCCACCGTTGTACAGTGGGGGCTTCCAGGCCAAGATGACAGAATCTTTTCCAGTGTCCACCACCCGTGGAGTGGGAGGGCCAGGAGGAACTGTGTTAACAGAAAAATACATATGAATAAATATTTGCGTTACAGATTGTTGTGTAAATTTTCAGAAGTCTACAGAAAGTCTGAAACAAAAAACACAAAACAACTGAAGCTACTGTCTGAATATCAGTATCTGTTTGCAGATTGACAGCTCTAAATCCTCCTTTAAATGGCCATGACATCATCCAGTAAGGTGCAAAATGGTTTGTCATGAAGGTAAATCTGACTTTCATTCAGCATGGTCAAAGCAGACTAACAAACTGATCAGATTTTAGAAAGTCACAGACTAAGTTTCCAGAGATTCAACTCTTTGTCTTTGAGGTTTTATACTTCATTATTGTAATCAAAACTTACGGATGGCATCCATGGCTATGGTGCGGTCTGTGGGGTCACTGAAGGGCCCGGGTCCAGCCAGGTTCTCTGCGCACACTCTGAAGATGTAGGTGAGTCCCTCCATCAGCCCCGTGACCTTCACATCAAGGGAGTTGACGAGGGCCCTGTTCACTCGGGTCCAGTGTTTGCTGTTCACCTCCTTCCTCTCAATCCAGTAGCCCAGAATTGGGCTACCATTGTCCTTTGGCTCATGCCAGGAGATGTGGGCGGAGCTTGCTGTCACCTCATGCACTCTGGGGGTGTTGGGAGCATCAGGAGGATCTGGGGGGGAGTAGGGGTGAGAAGGTGAGTGATGCAAGAATTATTGAAATATAATTGAAAAGTAGTTCTGGGTGAAAACATAATGACCTTGATATGTGCTGAAAATATTCATCTTTATGATTTTACTTACTGAACTGGTTCTTGGCGACAAGTGGCTCAGAGATGCATGGATGACCACAGCCATACTTGTTCTCAGCTGTGACTTTCAAGATGTACTCCTTCCCTTCAATCAGCTTGGTGACTGGAAAGCTCGTGCCTTTCAGAGTGGAGGTGACGGTGATCCAGCCGATTTCATCATTCTTGTTGTCCTTCTTCTCCAAGATGTAGTTCAGGATCTCACTGCCACCATCATCCTCAGGAGGCTCCCAGTTACAGATGACCGAGGTGTTCCTGATTTCATCAAAGGTGAAGTTGATTGGAGGGCCAGGTTTGTCTGCAGGACATAAGAGTCAGAGCAATGTTTAACATTCAGAGCATAAAAACATCCAATTACGTAGTTCTACTCATAAAGGCCAAACAGACTCTTGTGAGAATACAAACAGAAGTGAGACAAATGTCTTCATACCCTGGACGTTGACAAAGCAGGAGGCAAAATCAACACCATGGGTGTTCTCCACCTTGATGGTGAAGGTTCCATGGTCAACTCTGACAGCATCACGGATCATCAAAGTGGACTGGCCTTTTGTGGTCTTATCTATACCAAGACGCTCACGCAGAGGAGTCACAAACTCCTCCTCAGGTTCTGGAACCTGCACAAATCAAAATGTAAAAATTATTTTAAAAAAAATATGAAGAACAACAAGAAACTGTTCAAGATCTCTCTTTATTGGAACAAACCAGGGCTTTGGTCTTCTTCTTCTTGACCACAGGCATGATCTTTTTGGTGGACTCTTTGGTGACATCCTCCTCATTTTTCAGCCAGGTGACTTTGGGGTATGGAGATCCAGAGATGTAAGCATCGATGCGGATCTCCTCACCCTTCTTAATGCAGAGACCTGACTGCACACGGGCATGCAGTGTCACCTTTGGTTTTTCTGAGAATCAAGAAACAGACATGGAAACCCTTAAGTAAGTGTTTTCTTGTTGAGTGTAAAACAGATTTATAGCTTCACATACCAACAGGGTCTGCAGCCTTTATGAGTGGACTGCTGCGCGATGGCTCACTGACTCCAGCTGCGTTCTCAGCACGAACTCTGAACTGATACTCTACGTCTTCTTTTAGGCCGGTAACCACATAGGAGAAACCAGGAACTAGACTTGGGGTGACTTTCTCATAACGGTCACCATCTTTCTCAATCTTCTCTACAATGTAACCCTGGATGGGGCAGCCACCGTCATAGTCTGGAGCCTTCCAGGTGACTGTGATGGACTTGGATGTGGGATCGTGAGCCTCGACCTGGATTGGTGGGTCTGGTTTCTCTGTGTAAAAAAGACTCAACACAGTAAACATCTGAGTGTTTGCACCACCCTGATGCTGTGGTATAAATACACAGGATTAGCAGGTAACTCATTATGCTTTTGTGGATCTCCTAGTAACAAATCCGATCCCAGCAATCTCATCTTTAGAATATTTTAATGGCAATGCTCTTCTGAATGCCCAGAATCTAAGTTATCATTCACACTTAATGCAGTAGGATACAGTTTTTATGGAAACAGAACTTACGTTTGATTTCCTCTGTGATGACTGGGTTCCGTAGCTCCAGATATTCTCCAGCTCCAACTTTGTTGATGGCCTTCACCCTGAAGTAGTACTCGCAATTGGTGTAAAGATCTTTGACGTTGAAGGTCAGAACGTTCTCCCCTGACATGATGGGCATGTATGTTTTCTTGGAAGCCTCACGACGTTCCAAAGTATAGCTGACAATCGGCGTGCCACCATCATCTTCTGGGGCTTCCCAGCTGATTTGGCAGGAGTTCTTAGTGACATCACTGGAGCTGATGTCTTTACATTGACCTGGAAGTCCTGGAAGGTTCAAGATGACCAAAAAAAAAGTGTCAGACAATCAATTCTGCTAGAATTTTTATGTAGTGTTGCAAACTTTTTATGATAAATTGTGATGAACCAACTTTTGAACTTAACAAAAAAAAAACTGTAATTTTAATATTTATTAGAGTTACAAGTTTTTGAAGAGAGTCTTAAAAATAAAATCATCTTACCAATAACTTTGACGGAAATGGTTCCAGAGATGGTTCCCAAACTGTTCTCCAGGGTGATGGTGTAGGCACCAGCGTCAGAGTGTTTGCTCTTCAGCAGCTCCAAGTGAGCACTGTTCATCTCCACCGTCATAGAGAGCCTGTCATCTGCTTTACACTCCACCGCGTCTTTCTGCCAAACCATCTTCGGTGTTGGAATGGCCCTGTAGGGGATGTTCAGGTGCAACTTCTCCCCCTCTACCACAACCACATCTTGAGCCTCTAGATCTATGGTTGGGGCACCTACAGAGCAGAAAACAAATATTACTCAGGACTTGTTCTTAAAAAAAAAGAGTTTATAATTATATTAAATCTGTGCTTACAGTCTGGATCCTTGGTAGAAACCTTGTTGGAGATCTCAGAGGGATCACTGACTCCAATAGAGTTAATGGCACGAACCCTTATGACATAATTTTTCTCTGGTTTGATTCCGTCATCAATCCTAAACTTCAGCTCTTTAATGGGCCTGTTGTTGACCCTGAGCCACTTCAGCTCTGGGCGAGCCTCTGCCACCTCAACGTGGTAGCCAGTTATTGCACTGCCTCCATCTTTGGCTGGAGGTTTCCAGGTGACGTTGATGTGCTCTCTGCTGGCGTCAACAATGGTCACTTCAAGAGGAGGAGATGGAGGACCTGGAGAGAATGGAAGTTCCAAAACACAAGCTGAAAGTTGGTGTAATCTGCTTCAAGGTGGATTAGAGTTGGCCATCTGGATTAAAATATCCTGAAATAAATGCTGCATATCTGCTCATAAAGCCTGTATTTTCTTACTGGTTGGATCCTCGATGGTGAGAATCACTGTGGGTTCACTTGGATCTCCGACTCCAGCCTCGTTCTCAGCTCTGACCTGGAACTGCACCTCTGACCCTTCATCAACATCCGTCACCTTGAACTGGGTCTGTTTGTCTGGAGTCTTGCAACATTTCAGCCAACGAGTTCCAACCTTTTCCTTCTTTTCAATCACATACCTGTGAAAAAAAAAATTGTGTCATGTTTGAGTTATGTCATTTGATTAAACCAAATTAAAGTTTGTAAATGGCTTTTGTACAACAATATTAAATGTTATCTCTCTTTTACAGGCAGAATGGCATCCGGCAGTAATCGCCTGCATGGGCTCATAACTGTGCAGTTTTAAAGACAGTTTGATTTGTCTTACTTAGTTATGGGTCTTCCACCATCGCTGTTGGGGGGTTCCCATTTCAGCTCCACATGCCTCTTGGTGACTTCCACCACTGTCAGGGCATAAGGAGGTCCAGGAGTTGCTGCAAGAAATGGAACAAACTTTAATATTATGTCCTCTGCTTTGTTTTTCTTCAAGAACAGTTTCAAAACATAATCAGATGATTCACATATAATAAAAAAAAAAAAAGAAGAATGATCCAGGGTATAGTTCTCCATCTGTATAAAAGTTATATCCTAAAAGTAATGATTGACTAAAGGTTTGGGGATCCTGAAGTTACTGAGACATCAGTTGGGAAGCAGAGATTACCATTAGATTTGAAATTAAACAGTTATAACAGAGAGATGAAAGATAAAAAGTTATTTATCCCTATGAACTTACTGAATGTGTCCTTAGCGAGAACGGCGTCCTCCAGCTCGCAGAATTCACCCATTCCAATGGCGTTCTCAGCAGCGACACGGAACACGTACAGAGATCCTTCGTTTAGAGGCGTCACTGTGTACTTCAGCTCCTTGATGGTAGTGTCAACAGACTGCCAGGCCTTCCGCCTCACATCCCTCTTCTCCACCACATAGTTGGTGATGGGGGAGCCTCCATCACTGCTAGGAGCCTGCCATTTGAGATCAGCATTGACCTTGGTGATGTTGGTCACTTCCAGCCACTGAGGAGCAGATGGAGGGTCTGGAACATGAAAAATAAACTGTGAGTTCAGGAAAATAAATCCAAACAGAGTCCTATACCATCCAGTTTTCCATGCTGGACTTACAGAGCCTCTCCTTGCAGACCACAGGGTCGCTGGGCTCGCTGGGTTCACTCTCGCCGGCCTTATTGACAGCTTTCACCCTGAATGAGTACTCCTGCTTCTCCATCAGACCCTGAAGCTGGTGTTCAGTCTGAGGAACATCCTCTGCAATCCGGATCCATTCCTCGCTTCCGCTCTTCTGGAACTCAATTATGTAGCCTTCGATCTTGGCCCCACCATCGTGCTCTGGACGTGTCCATGCTAGCACAACTGAGGTCTTGGCAACCTCCCTGACAACAGGTTTACCAGGTGCCCATGGAGGATCTGACAAAGAGTTCCAGGTTATTATTCATTCATTCAACCTTTATTTAGACAGGTAAATCCCAATTATGACCTTCCCAGATTACCCCACACATTACTGTCATGGTATATTGTTCTGATCCAACTCTCAGTTGAACCTTAGTGAGCTGGATTGTACTGAAGGACATACCAATTGGATCTTTGATGAGGACAGGGTCTGTCTCTACACTTGGTTTTCCAGGTCCAGCCAGATTCTCAGCAAGAACACGGAAGCGATACTTCTTCTTGGTGGGGAGTCCCTTTACTCTGCAATCAGAAGGACATACAGTAAGAAAAATTAATCTGAATAATGTTTGTTTTAAAGCAACGTTTCTCCAAATGTGGGGCGTGAAAATATCAATCCAAAAGAGAGGGGAGAAGGTAGAACTACTGAAGTCCAAGACCAGGGAACATGAAGAGGGATTACTCACTGCTGGATTTACAGTGAGGAGTACGAATTTGATAAAAATTAAAAGATAATCTTCATGTTAGTAAAACTTTCTAGTTTTTGCTTTTAATCTAGGTGGTTACCACATATAAGATAACTACTTTCAAAACAAGTATCAGTAGAGTAAAACACTGATCCCCAAATATTTTAATACAATGTCAAGTCGTTATTTTTCATAAATATGTGAACATGCTTTAGATTTTTGCACAGACTCAACTGTATTGTTCTTAGAGATAATAAGTGAAAATGGGCTGTTTTTCACTAACCAAAGGCTGAACAAGACGTCTGATTTTATTGTTGTAACAAAGAGCGATCTCAGTCAACTAAAGGCACAGTCGACTAAACTATTTCTGAGACAAAATGTCACAATAAGTATTTCACATTATTTTACTGACAACAAATTACTAGAATTAATTTAAAAATAATTATGTGAACTTGGAGTTGTAACTGAAGCTAAACTGGACTCATTTTGTTTCGGTCTTTTGGGTCTGGACAGTATTTCATGACATAAAAGTTTGAGAACCAACAGCTTTAAAAACCTGACAGCTGTGTCCGTTTACCTAAAGTTTGTGTCTTTTATGGGCAGTTTGTTGCATCGAATCCACTTGTCACTCTCTGGATCAAACTTCTCAATCCAGTATCCAGTGATGGGGCTGCCACCATCCTCATCGGGCTCAAACCAGGTCAGGGTCACTGCATCCTTGGCAATGTCAGACGGAGTGACTCTGGTTGGAGGACCAGGAGGATCTGACAAAGATGGACAGTACCATGATTAATAGAGACATTCAGTGTTCGGTTGGGTTTTGAGTAATGGGCTGGAGTGGAGGACAACGTACCAAAAGCATACTTGGCGATGATTGGTGTGTGCTCTGTTGGTACACCGATGCCATACTGGTTCTCAGCACTGATCCTGAACACGTACTCTTTCAGAGCTGTAAGCTTGCATGCCTTGAAGGTGGTGAGTTTCACTGTGGCTGACAGTTTCACCCACTCCTCTTTGTCTAGCTGACGGCACTCCACGATGTAGTTGGTGATGGGGGAGCCACCGTCATCCCTGGGTGGATTCCAGGCCAGGACACAGGACTCGTTGGTAATCTCTGAGATGTCAAAGGCAGCTGGAGGTCCCGGTTTATCTGGAGGAGAAAACAACACGAGGAGGTGTCAAAGGTTGCATGTAAGCTGTATTTGGTTCAGAAACCAGATGGCAATGTTAAAACGAGCTGTGTGCTACTTGACACTTTGACAGTTGAGCTTTTATTTTGTACCAAGGATGTTGACATCAATGGTTGCGGTGGCACGACCACACAGGTTGACAGCCTCAATGATGTAAGTGGCAGTGTCTCCTCTGGTGGTGTTGTCTATGGAAAGTTTGGAGTGTCCTGGTTGGGTGTCAATGGTGATGCGGTCATCGGCTCTCAGGACTAAGTCAGCCTTGGTCCATTTTACCCGAGGATCAGGATGTCCTTTGACATCAGCAGGAAGCTCAATCTTGGTTCCAGCTCTGGCTGTCAGACCAGCCAGCAACTTCACGTCCAACTGGATCTCTGGAGGTTCTGTTCGGATAAAAAAAAAAAGTCACATTCTACGATGAGCTTCTCCACTTTTTCTTAGTTTTATTTTCTATCAGTTACATCTTGTTTCCAATCTAGTTAATGCTATTTTTCATTTTCTTCCATGAAGCTAAATTATAAATGTATTATAGTTTAATAAAGTGCTTAAATAAAAGCTGTTTAAAGGTTTTAGTTAGGTTGGTGAAGGGAACACTGTAAGACACCGCTCTGAGCAGCAGCATCCTGTCGGGGTGAATCCAGAATAGCCCACCTCTTGCATCCACGGCCTGGATCTCATCCGTGGCCCTGCAGGGTCGGCTGTCTCCCAGCTTGTTCAAAGCTCTGACTCTGTAGGCGTACCACTGGCCCTCAATCAGGCCGGTCACCTGAAACCTGTGCCACAAGACAAATATTATGTCCACCTGAGCCAGCATGCAGACAGGAGTGATCACAACTGAACACAATGATGTTAATCTTACTTAAGTTCGGGGATGGGGTCACCGCAGGGCTCCCATTTATCTGTCCCTCGCTGACACTTGTCCACCACATAGCCTTTGATTGGGGCTCCACCGTCGTACTTTGGAGGTTCCCAGGAAAGGAAGATGCTCTTTGCACTCTTATCACGCCACTTCAGGTTTTCAGGAGGATCAGGGACAGCTTAAAAAAAATTAAAACATAGATCAGATTTCAGTTATTTTGAGCCCTGATCTAAAATGTTTCTTCATGTTGCAGATGGGATTAATAAACACTCACTGGCAGGGGAGGAGACGTTGACGGGCTCATCAATGTATGCTGGTTCTCCAGGTCCACACTTGTTGCAGGCGATGACACTGAACAGGTATTCTTTCCCCTCAATCACATCTGTCACTGTGTGCTCCAGGTCCATAATGCCAGTTGCCACCTACACAAGACACCACCATGGTCATTGCAGTATCCCACTGCTGATTCATTCACCTAACTGGTCAGAAGTATGTTGAAATTTGTTTTCCTTTCAAATAAAACCCAAACATATTGACTTGCACCCCACAGAATTATCTGACAGATGTATTAACACCTTCAGACTTATCAGAGATTTCCCACACTTTGCAGTCAGGCACACCATTGTGTTCAATTTTAACCTTTTTTTAAACAAATCTTAATTATTTCAGAAACTTTATCTCAGATCTACCTTGGCCCAGGTCTTTCGAGAAACTTCTCTCTTTTCAATCTGATAATGAATGACTGGACTTCCTCCATCGTGCTCTGGAGGCTCCCACATAAGGTGGACGTGGTGTCGGGTCACCTCAGCCACCTTGAAGTCTTTGGGTGCACTGGGACAAGCTGGAAAAATGAAATCAAAGAGGATAAGCTTTTAAAAAACAGATTTCTGAAAATATGTACTTTTTCATGAACACAACTTAGAAACCATTCCTACCAATGACGTTGACTTCGATATCTCCAGAGATGGATGAGACGTCATTCTCCAGCTGTAGGGTGTATGTGCCTTTGTCCGGACGGACACTTGGTGAGATGGTCAGCTCTGTGTACGTGGGCTTTGTCACCATGGTGACACGTTCATCTGCAGTGGTCAGCTCTTTATCCCCAAAAGTCCACTTAGCAGTGGGAGTCGGGTGTCCGGTGATTGGGACTCTAATGGTGAGAGGCTGAGGGACAATGACTTCCAGGCCGTTTCTGAAGCCACTCAGGTCAAAAGTTGGACCAACTGCAAGAAGAAAAATGTTTCCAGATCACTGACGTTTAAAGCAAAATAACCAGATTTATTAAAATACAGCACAGGAAAATTAGCTTATTAAACTTTAGTCAGGTTTTCTCACCATGTGGGTCATCAGCGAGCAGAGGTCCTAGCTGCTCAGCTGGATCTGAAACACCAGCAGCGTTCTCGGCACAAACTCTGTACAGGTACTTCTGACCAGGCTTCAGTCCAGAAATCTAAAGGAGAGGAATTCAATGACACAAATGGGACTCAGTTAAAAAATGACTTGTGAGACAAATAAGGAAATCAGCTGGTGTCTGCTGGACATCATGTCTGTGTAGGAAATGTATACCCGGTAGAAGAGGTCTGGACACAGCCTGGCGTTGCAGCGCAGCCACTTGTCAGAACCTTCATCGCATTTCTCAATGATGTAGCCGGTGATCATGCTCCCACCGTTGCTTGCAGGTGTTTCCCAGGTCAGGGTGATTGCTGTCTGGATTTGGTCACTGTAGTTCAAGTTCAGAGGTGGACTTGGTCTCTCTGCAGGAGTAGCACAAAAGATTTCTCAGTGTTGTCTTACTTCCTGTCAACTGATGCCCACTGCTTTGTGCATGTTCCAGGTGGAGAACTGACTTAGATTGAAGAGTCAAAAAATTCATTGGTAACTTACTGACTTTAACTTGTTTACTCTTTTGTAAAGCATTCTGAGATGACTGACATTTTGTGAATTAGCTCATGATGAACAGAGTAGAAACAACAGAAGTGTTGTTTGTCACTCACCAATAGGATCCATAATCTTGACAGGGTTGGTGGCAGCACTGGGCCTGCCGACGCCTGCCTTGTTCTCGGCTCGAACCCTGAAGATGTACTCCTTGTGCTCCACCACATCGTTCAGGGTGGCAGAGCGGTCACTGGCTCCACACACCAGGGCTGCCTCCCACTTCACAGAGGTCCTGTCGCGAAGCTCAATCACATATGCCGTGATTTCAGAGCCACCATCAAACTTGGGAGGCTCCCAGGTGACTGTGGCTCCAAACCTGTTCACCCCACCTACTGCCACATTTTCTGGAGCATCTGGAACATCTAAAGATTGACAACAAACACAAGACTTGTGTAGTTACAACTGAAGTTTGGAGACAGGCTGTAAAACTACATGGTGGGTTATAATGGCTTCTTTACCAAACTTGTTCTTGGCCTGAACGGCATCTTCAGTAGCAACAGTGGGTCCACTGCCAACCCTGTTCCGAGCACAGACTCTGAACAGATACAGGGAGTCTTTTTGGAGTCCACTGACACAGTACTCTGGAGTATCAGCACGGTCTGTAGCCAAAGTCCAGGTCTTACGCTTTACATCACGTCGTTCTACAATGTAAGCAACAATCTTGCTTCCACCATCACTCTCAGGCTCATCCCAGGCTAAGCTGACTTCACCATCTGCAGTGTCAACCACTCTCAGGTTCTTTATGGGTCCGGGGACATCTGAAATTCATAAATATGATGGTAAGTAATTTCATTTGCCCAGTCAAGAATGATCCAGTTGTCTTTCTTCCTCAGACTCACCAATGACGTCCAGGTTGATAAATGCCTCCCCCATGCCATGTTTGTTTTTGATTACTACTCGATACCGGCCCTGGTCCTCTTTCCTAGGGCTCTTTAGACGATACTCGGTCTTGTCGACTGAAGTGTCGACGTTCTGAACCGGAAGACTTTGGCCATCAAAGAACCACTCGACGTCAGCCCGAGGATAAGCATCGTAGGGCACAGTCATGACAAAGGGTTTCCCAGCGTCGGTCACCAGATTCTGGTCCGTGGTTTTGATCTTTGGAGTGGCTGCAGATAAAAAAGGCTAGATTTAATTCTATTTATCCAAACGTCTTTGAGTGGGCTGAACTACTGAGTAATCTCTGTAGACCAGTTGTCAAGACTATACTGGTCAAGAGGCTAATACCACTAAACTGGAAATCCACCTACAGATGCAAGCTGGATTGTAAGTTTTGTGAAGTAAGGTTAAATGGTAAATGGACTGTACTTATATAGCACCTTTCTCTCTTATCAAGATACTCAAAGTGCTTTATTCTACAACCTGTGCCCTCATTTACCCATTCATATAGCACTCTACTATATCTATACAAAGACTAATCAGTGCTTATCACATTCATACTCCAATGGGACACACATTGGAGGCAATGAGGGGTTCAGTGTCTTGCCCAGAGACACTTAGGCATGTGACTACTGGTGGAATTGAACCCCCAACTCTTGCATTGGAGGATGATTGCTCTAACCACTAAGCCAAAGCCACCCAGAATGAGTTATGAGTTAAGAATAAGTGATGTTTTCTTCCATGTTGTCTTTTTTTTTCAGGACTTTTTCTTTTTAAAGCAAAATCCTTCCGCAGGGTTAACTCACCTGCCAGCTCCAGTTTGGCTCGTGCTTCTTTGTCTTTGGCTACAATCCGGTACTCCCCCTGGTCTCTGGGTCTGATCTCACAGATCTGTAGTCTGTGGACTTTGCCCTCACTGATCATCTGGTACTTGTCTCCCTGGACAATAATCATGTTGTTCCTCATCCACTTCACCTCCACCCGGTCCTTGTTCAGCTCCACCTCGAACACAACATCAGAGCCCGGAGGCTCAAACATGTCCTGCGGTGGTCGGACGATCTCCACTGGTGTCTCTGCAGGACAGAAGGACAGAGCCACTGTGAATATTTTTAAATGTGTTGGTTTGAGCTTCTTTAAAAATAAGTAGAAATGAGGAGTTGACCTTCAACAAAGAGCCTGGCTCTGGTCCTCCTTTCGTCCACGCCACAGGCATATTCACACTCATCATCTGGTCTGCACACCTTGATGATTAGACTGCAGGCCTTCCCTTCCTTTTCCATGTGATATCTGCAGAAACACCACACAAAAGTTGGCCATAAAACTTTGTCAGAGTCTGCTTCTTCTGAAGTTTCAGTTGCTGTCGACTGAAGGTTTCAGGCTGAATTATTAATTAAACTAAAACAACCAAAAGAAGATGTATTTCAGCTTGGTCTGAATATGTTGGAGTGGACTATTTTCAGACAGAGGTTGTGTGTCTGCATCTCGCGGTAAATTGAATATGTTCCAGTATAAAATCAAAGAGGATACCTGGGTCCTTCTCTGATCTCTCGTCCGTTCCTATACCACTTGACAGCAGCCTTCTCCTTGCTCAGCTTACAGGTGAACTCTGCATCCTCAAACTCAGTGATGGTCTGGTCTTTGAGCTGTGCCATGAAGTCTGTCGGCGCCTCACTGATGATCAGCTCGGCAGCACACTTGTCATCTCCAACCACAGCTGTGTACTCGCCCTCATCATCCATGACGCAGTCCTTGATGGTCAGGGTGTGTTTGAGGCCATCAGCTCTATACACTACGCGTTTGCTGAGAGTAATTTCCTGACCGGCCTTCATCCATTGTACAGTAACCTCTGGTCGGTTCACTTTACAAACAAAGCTGATGGTCTTTTTCTCCTGAGTCTCAATGTCTTCAATAGGCTCCAGAAACTTCAGCTTTTCCGCTGTGGAGTCACAAAAGGTATACAGAATCAGTGTTCCATGAAAAAACAAGGCAGCAGTATCTCCATGCACCTTTTTTACCTGTGACTTTAGCACTGGCAGAGCACTTGGCATGTTCTCCTCTTTGATTGGTCAGAGAGATGGTGTAGGTGTCCTCATCTGCCTTCTGAGCATCTTTGATCCTCAGAGAGAAGACGTTATCTCTCTGAGCCATCATGTACTTGCTGGTTTCAAAGATGGTCTCCTCGTTCTTCAGCCACTTGGCCTTTGCTCCCTCTGTGTTGGTCTCACAGTTGAACACAATCTCACCTCCTTCCTTCACCACTGTGTCTTTAATCGGAGTGATGATCCTCAGTTTTTCTGTAGACAAGAACAAACCCATCAATAACAGCCCTAAGATCTCACCCTGACTCTAAGAGCAGCTGCTGAGAAGAAGGAAAACATTTTACCTATCACACAGAGATCAGCCGAGGCCTTAACACTGCCGATGTGGGCCACGTAGCCACCCTCATCCTTCAGTTCACAGTTTTTCACAATAAGAGCCCTTCTCTTTCCTTCACTGATGATGGTATATTTATCCCCATCTTCAATCTCTCTATCTCCTCTGAACCATTTAACCTCATAAGTGTCTTTGGAGACAGAGCAGGCAAACTCGACCTTCTCCCCCTCCACCACCTCCTGGTTCTGAGGACGGGAGATGAATTCAGCTGCCAGTTCTGGAAAGAATAAGAATAAGAGAGAGAAACCATTGCAAGATTAGAAATCAAAGTTACACTTTTTCAAATGTTTAATGACCTTTTTTCTTTGTGACTTTACCATTGATTTTAAGTGTGGCAGACGTCCGGACTGTGGGACTCAGCCTGCAGTTGTATTCCCCAGCATCTTCCATCCTTAGGTCCTTGATGACCAGGATTCTTTTACGTCCATCCATGATCTGATCATAGCGGCCGCCCTCTGGCAGCTCCTCATCTCCTCGATACCAGGTGACCTCAGCGTTAGCCTTTGAGACCTCACAAACCATCTTCACACTGTCCGTTTCTGTTCCCTCCACGTTGGACAGGTTCTTGGTGAACCTAGCTGCTTCCTCTGAGGACAATCAGGACACAAGCATCAGTCTTAGATTCATGTTGGCGCACATTTTTATTTTACTCTCACTGGATTTATTTAAGCAGAACTTGTAAATTCCAGGGTCACCTCACGTGAAAGTGTTTGATTTTGGTTTCACAGTTTTATGTCCAGTTTTACAAAATGTGAAGAAAGATGAGATTTTGTGTTTTTACTTTAGACTTTATGCCTAATCTAATGAATAATGCTCCTCACCGACGACAGTGAGCATCCCGGATGTCTTGAAGGTTCTAGCATCACATTCGTATTCAGCCTCATCATCAAACACCGACTTGTGGATGATGAGGATTCTCTGCACTCCTTTAGCAATGATCTCGTATTTCTTTCCTTTCCTGATCTCACTGCCATCCTTGAACCAACGAACCTAGAAACAAGAATATCATCATCAGGGTGAGTGCAAAACCTCTGAGAAGTTACATTTTTACCAGAGATTAACTGTATTTACCTGGTACTGACGCACACACACTTAGATTATATATCACTGGTCTTTAAAGGACTGACATATTGTAATTAACTAGTCTTTAAATGTCAGTACTTGTTTTTAACTGGTCTTTAAGTACATAATGTGTTTTTGTCTCACCTTGGCAGATTCCCGGGACACTTCACATTCAAACCTGGCAGATTCCTTCTCTTTGACCTCCACATCCTGCAGAGGCTTTGTAAACTCTACATATGGAGCTGTGGAATAAAGGTGACCATCATTAATTTTTTTTAGAGTAACAGTTCTAACGTCAGTGTACTGATGTTCCTTTAGTGTAACAGTCAGCTGAAGATGTGATAAAACATAATCAAATACTGGGGATCATCCTTACGTGTGACTTCCAGGAAGCATGAAGTCTTGAACTCCTTGGCGTCACACGTGTACATTTTGGCATCATCTGGGGAGCAGTCATGGATGATGAGTGCCCTCTTGCGCCCGTCAACAATCATGTCGTACTTCTTGGTCTTTCTGATTTCCTGTCCTTCTCTCAACCAGCGAACCTCCGCGTTCTCTCTGGAAACCTCACACTCGAGTGTGGCGGTGGCTTCCTCCTCCACGGTCTGGTCCTGCAGAGGCTTTGTGAACTCCACCGGTGGTTCTGAACACAAACAGAAGCGTTGGTGCCCAAAAAGCTGCTGCAGTCACTGCTCTCCACGTGTTTCGAGTGCTTTAAATTGGAACTGGTCTCAGTGTCTTGCCTGGTAAAATTAAGGTTCAATAAAATAAAGTGTACCTCTGACGTTGAGCTGAGCTGCTGTCTGGAAGTCTTTGGCGGTCAGTTTGACCTCCCCGGCCTCCGTCAGCTTCACATCTCGGATGGTGAGAGTATGTATTCTACCTGCCACTCGAGTCTTCACCTGCAGGGACAGAAACACGTTTACTATTCGATCTGTTGGACTCTTTATTCACAAACAACACCTGAACTCAACTTGTTTATATCTTGATTTTAATCATTTAAAACCGAAAGAGGCTGATATTAAACGATAAAAAAGAAGTGAACACATTTATTGTAATTTATGGTTTATTTCATCAGCACAAATAGAAAATTTTTCACAAGAAATAAAATTTTTGGTGGTTTAAAACAGTTTAACAATAATCCTGACTTTCACATCTCTTCTTTATTCTGATTGAAAAACTCTATAAGGTATACAACAATTGGATTTCTGTTCTGTAGGTGACGATGTTGCTCTTCTCATGCAGGAGGATTTCTTCATTCAAAAACTGGAGAGTGGATTTTGGAATGCAGGTCTGATATCAAGGGGCCCTCAGCAAGATCTATACAATGCTCAGTTCACACCATGAGACCTGTTTGGACTCTCTTAAACTGAAATGGGAAATGGACTTAGAGGAGTCCATATCAGACTCAATCTAGTGAAGGATCATTCAGAACATTTATTCATCCTCAATCTGTCTGAGACACACTGCAATCCAATTCAAGGTGCAATTCAAGGTGGTGCACTGGTGGCACTGGCCCAAAGACAAGCTGTTCAAGATCAAAGCCAACCAGGACCCAGCATGTAATCATTGTAAACAAACTCCAGCTACGCTCTTACACACATTCTGGACCTGCACCAAACTGCAGACCTATTGGCAATCTAGTTTTAACAACGTCTCTGTGATATGTGGAAAAACTGTACATCAGCACCACTCATCTCACTGTTCGGGGTGGTCCCTGTGGATACGTCCTTCAGCAAGTACAAGGAAGTGATTGATTTTGACTTTCTTCTGGCCAGGAGACTTGCTTTGTGCAGATGGAAGGACCTACACCCCCCAACGTATGTGCACTGGATAAGAAAATATTCATCTGGAAAAACACAGATATGCCCTGAAAGGTTCTGTTAAAAGATTTTGGGACACTTGGCAGCCTTTTGTGTCATATGTTGAAAACATGTCAATGCCTGTATAAAGACATTTATGTATGTGTGGCTGATCCGGTGTGAGGGAGTGGTAGGGGATTTTGTTCTATGTTCATTTTTCTTTCTTTTCTCTTTTGTGTGTGTTCACATAAAAAATCAATAAAAAAAACTTTGATTTAACAAAACTGGAGAGTGGAGTCCTAAGCTTTAAACTGCACGAGACAATCTGTTATTTGACCTAAGCTTCCCCTCCTTCCTGAGGGTCATCAGGGTCTTTGTTAGCCTGCTTCTCAGAGAGGTGTTTTGCTCATGAAGGTGTAAAGTAGAAACTAACTGCAATCAGTTTTAACCGCTGCTCTGCAGATTTTGGAAATTGAAATCTGAGACCTTCTTTGTTTAAAGTTTTTTTATCTCTCATTTAACGTAAATGTCTCCCAAACATCTGTCTTCTCTGTCTAAAATATGGAAATGTTGGTCTTCAGCAGAGTGTCTCTTATTGTGGACACATTCTTTACGTTTTTCTGTCTTTATATTTAGTTTGTTTTCCTCTGAGAATCAATCCTGTCAGTAACAATAATAACTTTGGGCTTTTGTACTGACCCGGTCACTGGCCTCCATCTTTTGTCCTCCCAGGAACCACTCCACGGTGATGCCTTCGTACGACAGCTCACACTCGAAGGTTGCCGTCTCTCCAGCCGTCACCGTCACGTCCTTCAGGGGCTGCGTCATTGTGATGGAGCGGGCTGAGGAATAGGAGGAAAACCAGAGAGTTGTCCTGCAGTTTGTCTCACGGCTGAAGCAGCAGAGAGGCTTCAGATAAAGTCTGAAGCTGAAAATAATCCTGAGAGCTGATTGGCTGAGGATGACCTTTTTACATTTCCCCCCTACATTTGATCTGAATCAGGTTAACCAGACTTTCTACTGGAGAATGAAATATTTAAAATATATACTTTATTTTTTGCTTAAAAAATTTACATTTTGAACTATTTTAGTGAAAGTGTACCTAGAAAGTCAGCCAGAGACAGAAGTCTTTCAATGAGAAACAACAAATAAAGGTCACACCTTTAACCCTGAGCTGAGCGTTGGATTTGGCGTTGGCTGCTGAGAAGTCCACGGATCCAGCCATGGCCATACGAACATTGTAGAGGATCAAGAAGTGTTTAGTTCCTTCCTCCTTAATCTCAACATCCTGGAGGACAAAGAGTAGGTATTTTTAGGATTAAAATGATCATAACAAAGGAAAACGGTAATGTTTTCAGGGTCTCACCGCCGACTGGTGCAGAGCTTCTCCCTTCAGTTTCCAGTTTCCGTGGACGTCCTCCTCAGAGATCTCTGTCTCGAACTTGGCTGTCTCTGTCTCTGTCACCTCCACGCTGTACAGAGGGCGAACCACTTTGATGTCCCGCTCTGCAGAAAGGACCAACATTAACGTTAACCACGTCCAACTGCCCAGTAAGGGAATGAGTCCACCTATTCAGTTCTGTCCAGCTGGTCTTGACTCAGTCTCAGACTAAATGATTCAGAACTTCAACGTAAACTGGTGTTTGGTACTTCTCTACGCTGACGATGTTTCACTTTACATTTAAAGCTTTATTTATAGTCCACCACCCATTCTCTGGTTCTTGTTCCTTGGACCAGTTTTGATGAGTTCTGACTTCAGCAGACCAGGAAATCCTGCAGTGGTGCAGATGTTCTGACCCAGCTGTTCTTTAACCAGAACCAAACTGTGTTGTTAAAATCATTCAAGTCCTCATACTGATGAGTTTCTCTGCTTTAATGTAAAGAGTTGAATGTTCACCTACAGCCTGCTCTATCTTACTGCGTCACCATGGTAACCATGTAATTGATATCTAACAAGATGGAGTCAGGTCCTCTGGAATGATTCTTCTTTGTTGAAATGTTTTGTCTTTTATCCAAAAGACTTCTTCAGTATGAGGAGATTCAACAAACTCATTAAGCAAAGAAAAATCTGTCCAGAGGACCTGACTCAACCTTGTTAGATTAATCTACCTGGATTGTTGAACATGCATCGGGACAGGTAATAGATAGTTTCACTTCTCAGTGGTCATAATCTTATGGCGGACTGATGTGAAACCTGCAGTGGACATTTGTCCTCCAGACACTTTGATGTTCTTAACAATTCTCTTTCAGGAGAAAACTTCTGCCAAAGTAACAGAGTTTTATCTGAAGTTACTGTTTACATCAAAGGTTGGTGAAATCCTCTTTACCTTCGATGTTGAGGTTTGCGGTGGTTTTGTCTGAGCCGCAGTCGCAGGTGTAGGCGCCGATGTTGGCCTTCTCGGCCTTTCGGACTGTCAGGATTCGCTTCTTTCCATCAGTGCTGATAGCGATGTTCTTGGATGGAGTGATCTCCTTCCCGTCCTTGAACCATTTCACGTCAGCCACGGCCTTGCTGAGCTCACAGACCAGACTCACCTGATCCTTCTCCACAGCTGTGTAGTTCTGCAGCTTGGTGGTGAAGTACAGGTCACCCTCTGCAAGAATGAGGCAGTCAGGTTTCATCTGGGTTTCAATACACCTGGTTTAATCTGACTCAGGGTCAAAATATTCTGTTTAATCTGACTCAGGATCACTGTAATCTGTTCAATCTGACTCAGGATCAAATTATTCTGGTTTAATCAGACTCGGAATCACTGTAATCTGTTTAATCTGACTCAGGATCACAGTCATTTGGTTTTATTTGATGCAAGATCACAGTAATCTGGTTTTATTTGACTCAGGATCAAAGTAACATGGTTTAATCTAACTCAGGATCACAGTAATATAGTTTTAATAGGTCTAAGGATCAAAGTAATCTGGTTTAAGCTGATTAAGGATCATAACAATATGTTTAATCTGACTCAGGATTACTATAATTTGTTTAATCTGAATCAAAATCACAGTAATCTGGTTTAATTTTACTCGGGATCACATTAATCTGGTTGAACTCAGTATTCGAGTCATTTATAACAGAATAAACAGTGGGACTGACCGATGACAGTGAGCATGGCTGTCATGTTCTTGTCCATGGCCTCCACTCGGATCATGGACGTGTCATCAATGGTGACTTCTTTGAAGGCCAGGGTGTGGACTTGGCCGTGATCCGACATGTGAACCACTTTGCTGGGATGAAGACGGACATCGTTTTTGTACCAGGCCACAGGGATGTCATGAGACAGCTCCACACTGAACTCGGCTGTTTCCCGCTCTTTCACCGTCACATCCTTAATGGGTTTGACAAACTCCAGGCGAATTCCTGCCGGACAGCAACACTCGGTTAGTGAGAATGAAGGTTGTTTAATCTCATCACAATCAAATTATATTCACATTTCTGAAATGACTGATTAAACAACTTCAGATTTCTATAAACTTCAACTGTCAGAGTGGATAAAATCTATGTATGAGCATTTGAAGAAGATATTTTATATTAGACCAGTTGTTTTGATTGTATTTTTTTGGCTATTTTTGAGGACTTTTATTTAAATAATGGTCTTTAATAAACTCTGAACAAGTATATCCATGTTAACTTCCATTCAATCTAAAATAAAACCAACACATTTGTTTATTTTTTTTAAGTAGACCACCTTGAATGATGAGTTTTGCGGTTGTCCTCTTGTCCTCAGCCTCGAACATGTACTTGGCCTCGTCATCGTAGGCAGCTGATCGGATCACCAGAACATACATTTTCCCCTCCTGCGTCATCTGGTACTTGTCGTCGTTCGTCAGCTCCTGGGAGCCTTTCAGCCAGCGGAAACTGTTGGGAGTTCTGGACACCTCCACCTCGAACCTGGCCTCGTCCTTCTCGTACACCTGGACGTTGCTCAGCGGAGTGAGGAAGTTCAGAGGAAGCTCTGCAGGAAACAACAGCCAAACACTGAAGATGTGCAGGAATGCTTTGATCTCCAGGAGGTCAGCGGAATACATCTGAGCTTCATTTTGAGCCTGATCCTGTTTATTTTATTAAATCTGCTAAAAATAAGACTATTAGCACAAATACAAACGGTTTTATTTCTCCTAAGTTTCTTGTTTTATTTTTGTCTGATATGTTTTGGTTCAGCGTTAGAGAAGGTTCGCCAGTTAGAATGGGTTTCCCGAACCTGAACTTGAGGACGTGAACTAAATACAGAACAGTCAAAGTTAGAGTTAATAATCTGAGTCATAAACTGGTTCTCTGTTGTTTGTGAATAAAATCCAAACGTGCAGTTTTCATAAGCTTCAGATGATTTGAAAAGGGTTCACTAATAAAGTGGGCGATGGTTCACCTTTGACCTTCAGGTTGGCAGAACACTTGGCGTTGGCAGCAGAGTATGCCACCTCTCCGGTCATGGTGACTCTGCAGTTGTACAGGATCAGCGTGTGTTTGCCTCCCTCCTCGATGATGTCCACATCCTGTCCCAACAGAAACTGAGGTCACAACACAATCACAACAACAAGACAACATCTGGGTGGGGAAACCTCCAGCGGCGACACTTACAGACGAAGGACTGAGGACTTCTCCGTTCAGCTTCCACTGGCCGTGCACGTCGTCCTCAGAGATCTCTACCTCGAAACGAGCCGTCTCTCCATCAAATAGCTCCACGCCGTAAATCGGCCTCACAACCTTCACATCACGTGCTGCAGAGGGGGATTACATCAACAGTTAGGAACATTTATACGCTGATGATGTGGATGTGTTCTTCTATTTCGACCTTTGACATCTGAGGTACAACTCTGGAACAAATGGGCCACACATGTACACAATGGCAATAAAACAGTAATATTACAGTAGTATTGCTGTAATACTTGGTAATATTTAATAATATTTAATAATAGTGCAATAACATGGTCATATTTAGCTACATTGCAGTAATATTTGGTAACATGGCAACGTTTGATAATTGTTTGAGAGAAATGTATTGATACAATAATTTTTGGTAATGTAATACAAGCAGAAGATAATGGATGGATGTAATACTATGTGCTGATAAGTAGTAGAGTATTATGTGGTAATTAATGGGTATTATTTGATAATCATGTAGTAATATTATCCATGAATCCATGAATTGTGCCGCTCAAGGTGGCTGCATGTTGGCGTCGCTCTGCATTCCTTGTTTTTCATATTCCTCTTTTTTCTGGCTGTAAATCGCTTTCTTATGATTATTCCCTCTGGTATCAGATGCTGTGCAGCTGGAAGGATTTTTACTGAAAACTTTTTACTTTTGGACATTTTTATGATGTGTAACCATGCCAACAAGGTGTTTTTTTTAACAAATGGAAGCAGCTGATTAACATCCCACATTCTCAAATAATACTTCAACTACAGCAGGGAAACACGTTGGATGATCTCCAAGCCCCAACAAGGATCCATCCAGAGTATCGGGAATGGAGTGTTATGTGTTTCACTGAGACATGGATGCAGGATCATTTTCCAGACTCCAACTGCCAGGCTTTCTGAACATACGAGCCGATAGAGATTTAAAGAGCAGTGGCAAAAGAAAAGGAGGTGGGTTGGCAGTGCTTGTGAACAATAATAGATGGTGCAATCCAGGACATGTCGGCTCTGCAGTCTAGATATTGAACTGTTAGCAGAAAGTTTTCATCCATAGAGAGTTGCCAAGAGAGTTCACCGGTGATGATTTGTCAACTACTTACATTCCACCCTACGCTGTTGTTGAGACTGCTTCCTCTACAGTGGAACCACATTCCAGTTTCTGTCCATGAGGCTGACACCTTGTCTCCTTTTAAGATTAGGCTTAAGTCTTTTACTTTTGATAAAACCTATAGCTTGGGTCAGCTTGGGTATACTTAGTTATGCTGCTATAGGCTTAGACTGTTCAAGGACAGCTTGGCCACATTTCCTCACTCTGCTGTTGTCTTTACTTGCTCTACCAGTTTTGTATTTGTCATTATTTCTATCTTTAACATGTTTTTTGTCTTCTTTCCAGTAGGGGATACACCTGGACCTGCCATTCTGTGTTCGTTTGTTGAAATGCTGCAGTATTATTTGGGATAGATGTTCTAATATTTAATAATTTATTAGCAGTAATAATTGATTAAACTAATAATATACTGTTTGTCTAATGTTTGATTTTCTTAAAAAATTGAGATATTTTCCTGTCATAGTCAGAGCCCAGGTTTCAGGAGAACAGCACGTGTTTTTGGATCTCGGTTACCTTCAATGTTGATGCTGGCCGAGGTTTTGTCCGTGCCACAGTCACATACGTATTTGCCTTGATCACTTTGCCCCACTTTCTTTAGAACCAGAGACCTCCGCGTGCCGTCTGACTTCATGACAACCGTCTTAGAGGCGATGATTTCCTTCTCCTCGTGATACCAAACCACGGGGACGTCTTTGCTCAGCTCGCAGTCCAGCGTCACTTCGTCTTTTTCAGTGGCGGTGTAATCTTGCAGCTTCACAATGAAGATGGCGTCTCCCTCTGTAGCAGGAACAGGTGAGATGCTCTTATCACACAGTTTATGTCTGCAGAGAGTTCAACCTCAGAGATGCACTAAATCACTCAGTGGTTCATACAAACCTTCCAAACATCTAATAAACAGTAAAAGCCTAAACTCAGAGACAAAGAGCGTAAAAGAGAGCATGCTGTTACCTATGACTGTCAGTTTGGCCGTTGAGTAAACTCCTTTAGCCTCTGCCTTTATTTGACATGTATCGTCTAGACTCAACGTCCTCATTTCTAGAGTGTGCTTCTTTCCTTCCACGTGCATGAGCACCGTTCGGCTCACGTGGAGTTTGACTTCGTTTCGGTACCAAACCACCGGCACGTTTTCATGAGTCAACTCGATATCAAAGCGTACCATGTTACCTTCTTTGATTGTTTGGTCCTGAAGCGGCTGCACAAATCTGAGCCTCATGCCTAGAATACAGCAGGGGAGTTCATACAGACAGAGCATCTGTTGACGTCGACACTTGAAAGCCACAAACATGGACAGAGGACGCAGAAGGAACAGGGAGCATGGCAATTTTGGGTCACACTTACCTTCCACTTTCAGCTGAGCGCTCGATTTTTGACCCAACACTTCAATTGTGTACTGAGCCTCATCATCAAACTCACAGTTGTTTATAATCAGCATGTGTTTCTTTCCAGCATCCATTATTTCATATTTCGGGCTGGGTGTGATGATTTCCACCCCCCTGAACCACATAACCTTTGACACCTCCTTGGTGATGGTGCATTCAAACTTAGCCTGTTTCTTTTCAGGCACAGAGACATCCTTCAGTGCATCAACAAAGCCCATTTCGATCTCTGGGAGGTGTGAATATTTGAGCAGTTATTCACAAAAGCAAACACACAGCTGGCTCTTTTCTTACCGTCATTCCCCAGCAATGCTTCCATTCCACAAGACAAAAAGAAGCAGAGGCAAGAGACAGACAGACAGACAGACAGACAGGCAGGCAGACAGGCAGGCAGACAGACAGACAGACAGACAGACAGACCACAGCAGGTATGTGTGAGCCAAGTTCGTACCTTTCACCGTGAGCATGGCGGTGGTGACGGCGTTCAGAGCCTGATATGAAACCTCACCAGCTTGATCCAGCTGCACATTCTTCAACGTCAGGAAACGTTTTCCACCTTCAGCTTTAATGTCACAAGTCTGAAAGTCCAAACAAATATCACTTCCTGCTGATTTGATCTGGTTTGTGCTTGAACAATACCTACTTTATCTGAGACAGAAGAATGTGCAAACCCTTCAACGAACATGTGAAACTTACCGGAGATCTGGTCAACACCTGGCCTCGGAGTTTCCACTCGCCGACCACGTCATCCTCAGATATTTCTGTTTCAAAGTTGGCTTCCTCCTTTTCAACCACCTCCACATTTGACAGCGGTTTCAGGACCTCGGCCTCACGCTCTGAAAAAACAAAAACAAAACAAAACACAAGTTCAAATTTAATACACTTTTTGACGTGGAGTCCGACAATTCTCAGTCGTGGGTTTTTGCGAACCCACCTCCGAGTGTGAGCTTGGCCGTGTATTTTCGGTCCTCGACCTCAATGGTGTAGTCTGACACATCATCGGGTTGACAGTTCTTGATGGTGAGGGACACGTCCTTTCCATCTTTGTTCACCTCGACCTTGTCAGAAGGAGTAAGCTCGTTTTCTCCTTTGAACCACTTCCAGTTGGGAGTGTCTTTGAAGAGTTCACATTTGAATGTGGCCTTGGACTTTGGTTTCACATGCTGGTCTCTCAGAGGCTTCACCAGCCAGTCCTTGATGACCTCTGATGAAGGAGACAGGGAAATCCCCAAATAAGTTTGAATTATTAAAGATTCTGAAACAGATTCTTACAAATATTTGTACAAATACAGTTTTAAGGGTCATATCTGTGTTGGACTGGCTGAGTCCAGTTTGTTCATGTAAATAATGGATTTTATACATGTTTCATATCTTGTGTTTCACATAATTCAAGGTTTGAACCAGTTCTTATTTTTAAGTATGAACAATCTTCACACAATACAGCTTTCATGTCTTTTGTTATGCAGATGATACCTGACTCTCTATCGGAATCCTGTCTCAAACTGTCAGACCATACTTCTGTCAGTGAATGTTCAGCTGCTAAATGCGTACCAATCACTTTGACGGTGGTTGAAGTCTTGATGTCCTCCTGGCCGTCCACCTCACAGGTGTACAGGCCGGCGTCTTCCTCAGTGGCATTCTGGAGGGTCACAGCGTGCTGCATGCCGATGATGTTAATGGCTACTTTTCCCGCCTTGTTCTTCAGAACTGCTCCATTCCTCTTCCAGATGACGTCTCTCTCTTTGTTCAGCTCACAGGTCAGGTACATGGGCTGACCCTTCATGCAGGTGGTCTCCGGTTCCAGTTCCTTCAACCATTTCACAGGAAGCTCTGTGGGGAGACAACGATGGGTCCAATGGATTTAGTATTCAATTTTCATGCATCTCGAGTTTGAGCACATTGAACCACTAAAAGTTTTTTGTTTTTTTCTGACAGTTAAATTTATCTGATGAAAATGCTTTAAGCTTACCTTCAACGATGAGCCTGGCGGTGCACGTAACCTCCTTGCCAGCGTTCTTAGCCACGCAGGTGTATTCACCGGTGTCAGACAACTGGACATCAATGATCTGCAGCTTACGATCTTTGCCATCAGAAGTGAACTTGTGCTTCGGATCTTCCCGTAGATTACTGCCATCTTTCATCCAGGAAGTGACGGCAGTGGAGGGAGAGACCTCACACTCGAACACAGCAGAGGATCCGATGGACTCGGCCTCCTGAAGCACAATGTCTTGAATCTTCTTAGTAAACTTCAGCGGCACAGCTTTGAGTTTGAAACCTCCAAACGGCTCCTCTGGTGGTGATGGACCTTTACCACCTGGCCTCAGGCCCCGCCCCCTGCCACCATCACCTGGAGATGGAGTCTGTCTCGCTGCACAATCAGACATGAGAACTTATCCAGTTAGTTGCAGAAAAGAGGCAGAGGACAGTTTGTTTAAGAGCAAACATTGTGACACAAACTCGTGTTTAAATATCAAATCTGTTAAAGGTCAAGAGTTTCGTTGTTAGAAGAACCCCGAAACGGTGAATACTAACAAAGAATGCGGTCATGAGCAGGATTCAGAGAAGAATCCAAAAGTGTAAAGAACAAGACTGAGACCAGAAGAGAAACAAATTCCAGAAAACAGCAGATTTATAAGAGAAGTCACACCACAGACCTGTCTAATATCTGCAACTGTTAGAATACCTACAAATTAAATACACCGTGATGTCAGTTAGACTCTGACCTGTTGTTAGGTTAGAGGCACAAATCAAAATGCTACTTGATTTGACAACAACCAGTCTTTAAATTACACCAATGGAGTTGATCCATTTCAGGTTGTACAGAGAACCAAGAAGGTGTATCAGTCAATCCTCACCCCCAAATCCTCTGCCTCTGCCCTTTGCTGCCTCCTCTGCTGGTTTTCCATCTGCATCAAAAACAAAATAAGAATTTTAAGCTTCACTGTAGGAACTTTCTGTGGACACAGACATTCTAACAAACACCAAGAAATTCTAGCAAACACTGCAAAAAGAAGACAAACCGATGAGAACGAGGTCTGGCACAGCATGTCTCCATGCAGTGAAGAGGAAATGGAAACAAAGTGGAATGAAGATGAATTAAAGGACATTTGATTGGACAACATGGACAAATGGGACCAGAAGAAGTGCGGTCAAACACACAACGATCAAGGATAAATTCATTAACTGGTTTAATGTGATAACAACAGAAGGGCAAGACAAACGTTGAATAGATGGCAAATGATGCTAAATGAAATGATTGGTGGAAGGATAGACAGACGATTGGACATAAAGAACGATTGATAAATGAAGGAATAGTTTGATGGACAGACAGAATGATTGATAAATGAAGGAATAGTTTGATGCACAGATGGACACATGGAAGCATGGACAGAAGAATTGACTGATGAATTGATGGACTAGTTGATGAATGGATAGACAGAATGATTGATAAATGAAGGAACAGTCTGATGGACAGATGGACACATGGACAGACAGAATGACTGATAAATGAAGAAATAGTCTGATGGACAGATGGACACATGGACAGACAGAATGACTGATAAATGAAGAAATAGTTTGATGGACAGATGGACACATGGAAGCATGGGCAGAAGGATTGATGGATTAATTGATGGACTAGTTGATGAATGGATAGACAGAATGATTGATAAATAGAGGAATGGATGGGTGAATGAAAGGATGAATCCATGAAGGAATGGATGTAAGTATTAAAGAAGTTGCGATGAAGATTAGATGAATCATCTGAGATGGGATGAGAAGACTCCAGACATGTCAGTTTGGACAGTTCTCTGGTCTCCAGCTCACCTCGTCTGGCACCAGGCATACCCGGAGTTTCCAGCGCCCCCATCAATTCTTGACATTCCCAGTCCTCCTGGGGGACCAGTTCCCAGCCCCAGGCCTCCTCCTCATGCTCTTCCTCCTTTTTCTCCCCTTCCTCTTCAAACACCTCCTCCTCAGGTTGAGTCGTCACCCTCTTCATCTGCACAGCACCAGGGGAGACCTCCTTCCCTAGTGGTATCCGGCCTGGATCATCCTTTACATGTTCACAGACCTTGGGGGCTGAAGGTTTCCTGGGAACCTTTTGGAGCGCAATGGCTTCAGTGGCATCTTGAGGTGGAATCGCTTTGGGAGTCTCTTTTACATCCTCAGGAATTGGTTTCCTGACACTCTCCAGAACCTTTGCCTTGTCATCTTTTGGTGATGGGGTACTTTTTAGCTCAACCTTCAGCTGTTCGGTGGGCTTTTGGTGTTCTGCCTTTTCTTGACTGACTCTGGGTGAAGGTGTCTTTTCAACTTTCTGAAGCTCTTTCTTCTTCACATCTTTGGTTATTTCCTCTCTTTTAGGTAGGTTTGTGTCCACAGGAGACTTTATCTTCTCTTGCTTGGTGACTTTAGGTTCTCCATTTAGCTTTTCAGCTGAAGGAGCTTTGGGAATTTGAGCAGTCTTATCCAGTTGGGCTGTTTCCCTTTGAGCTTTGCTGACATCTGGAGTTGTCCCAGGACTTGTCAGGGCCACATCTGCATCCTCTTTGCTTTTTACAGCGATGGTAGGTTGGTCTCTGTGCAGCCTCTCACCCCGCTGGAAAGGGCGATGCTCCATCTCTGGCTTTGCCTGAACCTCGTCTTTAGCCTTTCTTTCAGCCGCTTCTTGTTTCTGAGGTTTTTTGAAAGGTTTCAGTGTCACCACTTCTTGTTCTTCATCCTTCTTTGGTAATTTCTTTATTTTCTTCTCAGATAAATCTGGCTCTGGTTCTTTATCTTTTTGTTCTTTAATGGTTTTGATCCATTTTGATTTGTCTTGTTCTGGTTCTTGAGGTTTTGGTTCATCCATGTGGCTGAGTTCAGGTGCAGCCTGTTCAGCAGTAAAGACTCTGTCGGGTTTTCTGATTATCTCTGTGTCCCGGTCATCGTCTTGAAGCTTCTGAGCTGTCAGTTCAGCGTTGTGATATTTTGTCACCTCAGCTGTGTAAGTTATGATTTCCTTTTCATCGACTTTGGGCTTAGACGGAACTGGTTTCAGTTTGATCTTTTGTGACTCTGGTTCTGGTTTCTCTGGTTTTTCAAACGGTTTTAGTTTGACATCCTCTTTTTGCTCATCTGCTTTTGGCAGTTTGGTTATTTTCTTCTTAATGACACCGGGAACTTCAGAATCATCTTCAGTTAGTGGTTTTCCGGCTCTCGTCCACCCTTTGCTCTCTGTTTCTTGTACAACTTGAACTATTTCCATCTCCCCGAGGTGACCTAACTTAACAGTTTTTTCTTCCGCCGTGAATTTTTGTTCAGTTCTTCCCAGAGTCACGATCTCTCGGTCTTCTCTGTCATGCAATCCACAAACTGATAGTTCTAGGTCTTGATGTCGCGTTACTTCTGCTTTATGTGTCACCACTTGTTTCTCAGGTTCTGGAGGTTTCACTGGAACCTTCTTCAACTTGACCAACTCGGGTTCTGGCTCTTTCTCTTTAGGTATTCGGGTGAATTTACCCTTTAGTTTAGGGGACTCTGATGGTTTTTCCTCCTGAACTGGAATTTTACCCTTTTTCTTAAGAGATGGAACTGTGGTTGAAGGAGTAAATAAATATTTTATCAAATTCACAAAAAACATGTAAGAAACATCCAGTGATTGACAGTGACGTTGGACACCACGCTGACACAAAAAGACGAGGCGTTCTTAAAGATTGTGGGTACATTTTTTAAAGGTGAACATTTTAGTTTTGTGTATTGTTAAACAAAATCTACTTGTGATACCTTTAGTTGGCCCAGGAGCTGAAACTGGTCCCTTGTCTGCAAGAATTTAAGAGGATTGTAGTAAGTACACAAATTATACAAAGGTCTAAATTAAAGCCAACGTAGGTGGACTTCCTGACACCTTAATCAGTTGTAACATGTTTCTTTTAGTTTAAGATGTAAAAATGTGAGGTTTTTTTCTGGAGGTTGAAGCTGTTTCGAGCGTAAAAAACGCATCAAGACATTGTAAAAAGAATACATTCATGTTATTTGATCTGGCAGAAGACGCAGATTGATTTACAAAATAAGAAGCAAATGTCAGAGCAACGGACAGACAGAAAAGACGTTAGGTCTAAGCTGCAGGATGTAAAGAATAAAGATGCTTCTTGTAACTACAGGAGCAGAAAGCAAGCTCAGAAATCACAGACTTGATGTTACCTTCAGGTGGAGTGATTGTCTCGGAGACGGCGGGAGGTTCTGCCTTTCCAGGTGCTTCAGAGGGCTCCTTCTCGACTGCTGCAACTGGAGCTACAAGAATGTCAGCTGGATTAAAACACTGGCAAAGATCTGAGCAACAAATATCAACTGACAGCTGAACAAAACACACAACACAAAAGAAATGAGCGTTGATAAGAGCCAACAGAACCGACATGAAGATGGCAAACACAAGAATCTACCTTTGGCAGGAACAACTTCCTCTACTGGAGGCTTTGCTGTTGGTGGAGATGGTTTCCTTTCTTCTGCAGGAGGCACTTGGGAGCACAAGATACCACAAGTGAAAACCAACCAGACAAAAGATATGGAGGTGACATTACATTAAAACAAACGAGAATAAACACAGGTGAAGAAAACAGTAACAGAGCCAGAAGACACCTGTTCAACTCGGAGTAAAAAGAAAAATACCTGCAGGAGGAACAGCTTTGACTGCAGGAGCTGCAGGAGCTGCAGGAGCTGCGGGTTTTGGCGATGGGACCGATGGTTTTGCCTCCTCTGCAGCAAAGAATTAAAAAACAAGATGCTAAGACAACATGCTGGACAACAGCATGGTGAAGCATGGACACCCTGAGAAGAGAGGACTGGACAGCAACTCAAAAGAAACCAAAGAAAACATGGAGGACTGCTGTTTGTCGCCCAACCAAGAAACAAACCAGACAAAGAAAAAGTTCATGACAACATAAAAAGGAAGAGAAATACCTGCAGGAGGAGCAGCTTTGACTGCAGGAGCTGCAGGAGCTGAGGGTTTTGGTGCTGGGACTGAAGGTTTCTTCTCTGCTGCAGGAAAGAATCAAAAGATACACAAAGATGCCAAGATGATGACCTGAACACCAGCATGGTCAAACATGGGCAGAGACACTGAAACTCAAGACTGGGCAGCAGTTTAAACAGCTGCAGGACTGATGTCCTCCAGATGTTTATCCCCCACCCAAGAAACAAACCAGACAAACAGAAAGATCATGACAACATCAAGAGTACTACCTGCAGGTGGAGAAACGTCCTCTGCAGGAGTGGGAGGAGGAGGCGTTAGCACTGGTCCTGATGGTTTTGTTTTCTCTGGAGGTGACACTTTAAGAATACAGTACACTGGAGTCAAGACCAAAACGCACTGACGTGGATCAGCACCAAAGAACAACTAACATGGACATCTTTGTACAAATTCAAGCCAAGAGTCAACACAAATGAACACAAAACATGGCTGACTGAAGAGTTTACCTGCAGGAGGAGGAGCCTTCTGTGCAGGAGTGGGAGGAGAAGGAGGTGAAGGCTTTTCTACCAATATTGGTTCCTTCGCTTCTGGTTGAGACTCTTTGGGAATAATGATAAAAGATGCCAAGATGAAAACCCAAAGAATACTAAGGTCAAGTGAGACCAGCTAAGAGAAGAACGAGATGGTCCAAACAGAAAAATCATCAACACCAGGGTGAAGATGTGAAGTCGGACAACAGAAATCAACAACAAATTATGGAAATGACCATCTCCTGAGACAACGGCGAAGGTTGATCTAATAAAACCTCCTCACAGAAACAATAAGTAGCACTCTGAGTGTTAGTAACACACATTCTCCTGGTACACAGCACCACGATGGAAGGTGTTAATGTGGTGAATGTGAAGAAGCTCTTTCAGAAGAACCATGAGCCTGTACGGCTCAGCTCTACAAGAATACCTGCAGCTTGAGCTGTCTTCTCTTCAGTTTCAGGTTTTGTTTCAGTTCTAGCTCCTTCAGAGGAGGTTGTTTGAAGAAAGCAGATGTCATTTTGTGCAGGAGGTGAAAGACGGTCAGGAGGTTGAAGTGTCATCAGAGGTACAGCTCCAGACTTGCCTTTGGGATGTGGTTTCTTGGGTGAGGTCACTTCTTCTGTGGGTAAGTTTTGTCTAAAGGCTGAAACTTCTCTGGGAAGAGCTAAAGACGTCTCATTTGTTGGTAAATTAGTCTCTGTTGCTAGTGAGGGTTCTTCTTCCTTGGGTACAGGAACACGACAGGAAGGAAATTTTTCAGTTGGCAGATGAAAAGTAGGCTTAGATTTTTGCGTTGAAACTTCTTCCACTTCAACAGAAGCTTTCTGTTTCCAAACAGTTTCTTCTTGGTTTTCTTGACGATGAACAGAGGATCCAGTCAGTTGCCTCTGCTCTTTAGAAGCTTCTTGTTGTTTCCTTTGCTGAGTTTTCTTGTCGCCTTCTTGATTGGATGGGATTTCACCCTGAAGAAGAAAAGCTTCTTTCTTTGATGGGGCCTTTGCAGTGGGAGGTCTGACTTGATTAGATGGAAGATCAGCTTCTTTTAGAGGTGGAGGAACACAACCGTCACGCATATAGTCAGTTTGTCCTAACCCCTTGTCTGGAAGTAACTCTGAAAAACTTAAACCTGGTACAAAAGGTTTAACTTCAGAGTCCATTTCTGATCGGATCGGCTTCGTGAACTCAGACTGAGTCACTGGATGATCTTCACTGCCCCACCTAGAAATTTTGGCTTCTCTTTTTTCCATCAGGCTCTTTAAAGAACGTTCTTCGACAGCTGAGCTGCTGACTCTCACTTCGTCAAATCTCTGAACTTCCCGCTGCTTTAATCTAACATCTGCTGGAGAGAAACTTTCTTTAAGAGAACACTCCCTGACATCTTCAGCCGTGGTTGTTCTTTGGCTCACATCGGTCTCCGAAGGAACCGGGACATGTTGGAAGATTTCACCCAAGACTGAAGAAAGGCACCATGAAGCGGTGGCCAAGAGGACAACACATACGGGAAAGACACAAACGGACAGATTAAATTGTGGTGGACGCTCTGACGTTCTCATTTCACAACTAAACTACAACCATCATCATTTCTCGTTCCGCACATTTTGTGCCATTTCAACAAATCATATATAAAAATGTTCAGCTCTTTCATGTGTCTTTTGGTATTGGTGCAACTTTAGCTTTTTGAAACATTTAGCTTTTTCTGCCATGTTTATTTTTTCTCATACAAAATGATTTAGCTCATTTTACATCCTTCATATCTTAAGATCTGTTTACAACCTTTTACTGCTCCTTTCACATTTTGTTCTGGTTCAGCTTCTTGTACAAATTTGAACATTTTTCAGCTATTTTCAGCTAATTTCAGTTGTTTTTCGGCTGTTTTGTGCTCCTTTCAGACTAATTTTGAGCTTTTTCATCTAATTCCACATTTTTTGCACTCATTTAAACTTTTTTTCAGCCTAATTCAGCAAAAATGTACTCTCTCCACTTACTTCTGGTAATTTAAGCTTCTTTCCGCCTTTTTTAGCTACCTTTGAGCAATTTTTTTTTGCTCATTTCAGCTTTTTTCAGATAATTTCCACCTTTTTGTGCTAATTTCTGCTTCTTTCAGCCTAACTGGGCAAACATGTTCTTTCTGCTTTCTTCTGCTAATAAAAGCTTGTTATACCTTTTCAGCTACCTTTTTTAAAAACTTTTTTTAGCTAATTTCAGCTGCTTTCAGATAAATTCAAGTTTTTTTCTGGTAACTTCTGCTACTTTCAGCCTAATTAACTTCTTTCTACTAATTTCAGCTTGGTGTGCTCCTTTCAGCTTTTTTCTGCTAGTTTAAGTTACTTCAGCTACTATTTAGCTGTTTTATTCTTTTTTTTTTTAGCTCTTTCAACCAATTACACATTTTCTTTTAGCTCAGTTCAGCTCTTTCCATTTCCTTTTGGTAGTTTAAGCTTCTTTCTGTCTTTTCAGCTACTTTTCGGAAATTTTTGTTGGTAATCTCAGCTGTTTTTTTAAGCTAATTTCATAATTACTGTGCTCATCTCTGCTTCTTTCAGCTTAATTGGCAAACATGTTTTCTTTCTGCTTTCTTCTGCTAATTTTGTCTTGGTCTTCTTTTTCAGATAACGTTCAGCATGGATTTATTTTAGCTAATTTTGTCTTGGTCTTCTTTTTCAGATAACGTTCAGCATGGATTTATTTTAGCTAATTTTGGCAGGGTTTTTTTTAGCAAGTTATTCAGCAATAAGCATTCACACTGCATGTTTGCAGGAAATCCAATTTCTTATTTATAAACAGATTTAGTTAGAAATACACAGTATTTGTGAATATTTGGTGAACTTTGTTTCTGTCTGTATTTCCCTCTGTTAGAACATTTCATATAAATTTAAACACACAACAATCAAGAGAAGACATGTATGTCAGGACAAGACTTAAAACTCGGCAAACACCAGAAGATCAAGATGAGTAAAGAGAAGTAAAGAAGAACGTCAAAGACATATCTACCTTGTTGTTGAAGAAGTTGTTCCAAATTCTGTGGAGGTACTCTGACACTTGGCTCCAGTTTTTCTCTAACAAACCTTGGAGTATCGGGTTCTGCTCTTTGTTCTGTAACCATTTTGAGTCCAACTAAAAGATTTTTGGGCTCTTCTAATGTTTCTGGAACCTCCTTTGGTGCTTCTGGAACTTTCTTTGGTGTTTCAGTAATTTTCTTTGGTGCTTCTGGAACTTTCTTTGGCGTTTCTGTAATTTTCATTGGTGCTTCTGGAACCACTTTTGGTGTCTCTGGAACTTTCTTGGGTTCTTCTGGAACCACCTTTGGTGTTTCAGTAACTTTTTTAGGTGGTTCTGCAACTTTCGTAGGCGTTTTAAGAACCGCTTTTGGTGCGTCTGGAATCATCTTCGGTGTTTCAGTAAATTTCTCGGATTCTTCAGTACTCTTCTTTGATGCTTCTTGAACCACTTTTGGCTTCTCCGGAGCTTTCTTGGGTTCTTCTGGAACCACCTTTAGTGTTTCAGTAACTTTTTTAGGTGTTTCTGGAACCCTCTTTGGTGGTTCTTCAACCTTCATTGGTGGTTCTTTCTTGGATTCTTCAGTAAGTTTCTTTGGTGGCTTTGGAACTTTCTTTAGCGTTTCTGGAACCATCTCGGGTGTTTCTGGCACCAACTTAGGAGTTTCTGGAACTTTCTTGAGTTCTTCAGTAACTATCTTTAGTGGTCTTGGAACTTTCTGTGTTCTTTCTTGAAGCTTCAGTTCATCTGATTCTGTTTTAGAAGCAACCTTTAGAACTTCTGGCTCCTGTTTACCAACCAGGGCGAAGTCCGGTTTTCCAGAGAGTTCAGGCACCTTTGCTTCTGAGACAGTTTAGAAAAACATTTATTATAAGATAATTAACGTTTTCCAAAAGATTCAAGTCACACTCTAGCGAGTGCATGTTAACATGTTTTTCTAGCGCTCATTTCAGAGGTTAGCAGAAGACACCAAGGTTCAAACAAAATAAAGATGGAGACGTACACAAGAGTGTCACACAAACTGCTTGTTTTCTGCAGTACCTTTGCCAGAAGATGCTTCAGTCTTGGGAGGAACCTTAGTAGATACAGGTTTCTCTGGTCTGGGTGCCTCTTGAACTTAAGAGAACATCAAGTTTTGTTTAATTCACAGGTAAGAACCAAAAAGGTCAAAGATTACCCTCTTACTGGGTGAAAGACAAGAGGAGGAGAAGCTGAACATCTGCAGAGTCAAAGGTCAATACCTTCTGCTGGTCCACGTTTTGGGGCTGATGGAGTAACCATAGCTGCAGACGTGTGAACTGAAGGTTCTTCTGGTTTTGGCAGTTCTGGTGCTTTAAAGAACATTTAAAAATGTTGAACATGTTGCTGAAAACAAACCTCAACCCAACAACACGTCAGTCCACTCTGTCGAGTGTGGCAACCAAAGAAACCAGCAGAACATTCGGGTGTACAGAACAACGTCCACATCAAAACAGATCAAAGACATGTAAGAAGGTGGTTCTGGTACCTTTGGTTAAGATCTCCTCAGTCTTTTGAGGAGTAATCCTCACTCCGACTGGATGGACTGTGGTGTCCACTGGTTTGGCTACAGCTGGAACTTTGGAGAACATATAAAAGATTTCCATCTTTACATCGTGTTAATCATCAAGATGTTGTTAGAAGTTTTATAAATGTTACTCTAAAAACACCAAAAGCAGTCGTTTAGTGTAAGAGATTCTGTGAAATGTTGAAAACCCAAGCAAGGACAACAGATATACAGGAAGAGGTTAGCAGCAGAAGAGTCACACAAACATGTTAGGGTTCCTTACATTGATCAGATTCAAGACGTAGAACAAAACATCCTTCTGCTTCAACAGAAGAACAGCAAAGGTTCTGCTACTATACCTCTCAGTTCTGGAAGCTCGGGTGTTTTCTTCAAAGGTTCAGCTTCTGGTGCCTGGGACACTTTGGGTGTGGGCACCGCCGGTTTCTGAGGTGGCTCTTTGGGTTCTGGAGGTACCGTTATTACTGTCGGTTTGGGTTGAGGAGGTTCAGGAGAGACCTTTCTGGGAACCTTCTGAGGTTCTGGTTTGGTGTATACTTCAAAGTTAAGAGAGAAATACTAATGTCATAAAGACAACAGGACTGTAAGAGTTGAGGAGCTAAAAGAAGTCAAAGAGAAGTGATGGAACAGACGGACATGAAGAACACGACATTTGGACAGACAATCAAGAGAAAGCCACTTCATCCAGTTCGGTTTATCTAAAAGGTCTTCATTGTATCTGACTCTCCTGTACAGGAGTTGTTCTCCGAGTAAAACATCAAAAGAAACGTGGTCCTAAAATGTGAAATATTTGAAATGTGTTCATTGTGGTGCTTTTCTCAGTAGATCAACTTTGTCTCAAAACCTGAGCTATCCCTCTGTTTGCCTCATCTCCAGTCCTGTCCTATTTGGTACCAGAACATCTTCCAGTGTCAGAAGGCCCTGAGTGGAACATCTTCCACCTGCTCCCTACGCTCACTACAGAAGTTATCTGAAAACCTGATGTAACCCCTCCTCAAACCCGTCTCTCCTTCTGCATGTCTCACCACAGTCTCTGTCTTCGGACATGTCTTGCTCTACCCTCCCATACTTCTCCACCACTCCTGATCTCCTCATGCAGAACCACAGCTCCTCTCTCCTGATCATCTGCAGCTCCTCCTGACCGTCTCTGAACTTCTCCATCGACCCTCTCAGAGCCAACATCACATCTGATGTTCACTGATCTTCCATAACTCTGTTCCAGATCTTCATGCTCATCATCTTTATCCCCCTGGACTTCTGCAGCTCTACACTTCCTAACACATATTCAGTTTGGGAAACAATCTATAAAAATTTAAATGTTTGGAACACCTGTAAATGGTTCCATATTTAATTAAAACATGTACAAATAATCCGGGATTAAACTGCAGGTTGTGTGGTGAAAAGTCCTGCTGTGTGTTTGGTATTTAAAACATATTTTTATTCAATCAAGATTTAAAAGGAGCCAAAAAGACTCACAGACATAAAATAACAAACTGTATAAAAACACATTTTATCACAAACAATACCTTCAGGAACTGCAGGTTCTTCTGCCTCTGTTGGCATCAGGTCAGAAACCTCAGGCTGAGCTTTCCTTCCATCAGATTCTTTAAAACATCATAAAGAAGTTGGTTTTTGTACCGAAACATTGACAACAAATCATCAAGCCAAAAACAGGACACAAAGAGTCAGTAGAGTTTGGGTTTTACAGATACCTGAGAGTCCAGGTGGAAGCAGAGCTTCACGCTCAGAGACTCTCTCCTCTACACCTTCATCAACTCCAGGAACTTTGAAAGATTAAGAAAGTTTGAGTTAAAAGTGCTTCAGCCAAGCTCTACGCTACATTTGCTGCCATCTACGACTCAGAAAGCTCCAGTCCAGGTTAACAAGAGCAGAAGAGAGAAGGAACGTGTGAAGAACAACCACGGACAAAGAGAACAGACAGAAGATGTGCCACACACAGATCTACAGCACGTCTGCAGAGAGAAGAGCCTTTAAAGCAGCAGCTGGCATTAGCAGGCCAGTGGTTCTGATCAGAAGCTCTGTCAGCAGCCAGGAGCTTCCAGAAAAACTACTTCCTACCTGCTGGGATCTCCTCTCTGACTCCAACCTGAGTCCTCTCAATGAATTCTTCAACCACTTTTTTCTCTTCTGGAAGACAAGAAACCAGAACTTAGAGAGAAAACCTGCGGCAGATCTGCAATAATCAGGAAACAGTGAGTGCTGTGGGGAAGTATTAATGATTAATTAACAGAAACACGAAGGAACCTGAGACAACATGAAGATTACGAGACATGACGCTGGTTGGAGAAAATGAGGGAAAGCAGAACTTCTCTGCACCAGACAAGAATCAAACTGAACCCAGTTCTTCTTCATGCATCAGACACAAACTCTTAGAAAACCATAAATCAGCTGACAGAGTCCTGGCGCAGAGCAGACCAGGATCAGGACCAACAGGTCTTGAACTTCCCAGATCAAGACTTAATTTCTGATGTTTGTTTATTAATGTATCTCAAAATTTATTACAGAATAAAAAATGTTTTGTTTTAAACAGATCTTCAGTTTTGGACTTTTAATCTTCCTGTAAAAAAACAAAACAAAAACCTTTTACTGAAGAAATATAAAGAAAGATTAAATTTACCTTAAGTGAAGTTTATAATGGATCCAGTTTACTTTTAAAATCTGGAAACAATCGTTTATCTTTGTTCAGAGCAACTGAAATAAAAACTGATAATGACCTTATACATCAAACAGCTTGAAACTCACTCTACTCTTCCACTTCACTTGAACTCGGGTCTTCTACCAGAGGCCTGGGTGCTGAGGGTTCTGTTCAATATCTCACTGGTTCCTTGAATTACACTATTCTGGACAGAGATCTCTGAGGTTGTTCCTGGGATCTTTTGGAGCCGTTCTTGACGGTCATAGCACCGAGCGCTCCAAAAATCACTGGGACTACTGATACTTTGTCTCTCCACAACTTCTGTATTTGCATGCATGGAGGGTTTCACCCCAAGTCCAGCACCCTGAGACTATACGTAAGAGAAAGGAGGGAGGCAGAGGACTAGTGAGTGTCTGAGACACTATACTGGATGAAACCACTAAGATCCTGGAGTACGTCGGAGGAAAATCTCCGATGATGAACAGATGGTGAATGTCTCAGGCAGCAGCAGAAATCCAGTGTGGAGGAAAAGGAACAAGAACAGCCATCATGGAAAGATAAGCCTCTGCACTGCTTGTACCACCAGAAGACTGACATCAACAAAACCTACCAGTGGCTAGAGAGGTCTGGACTGAACGACAGCAAAGAGGTGCTAATCGTGGCGGCACAAGAACAGGCCCTCAATACAAGAGCAATAGAGGCCGGGGTCTACCATACCAGAGAGGACCCAAGATGCAGGCTGTGCAAAGATGCCCCTGAGACAGTCCAACACATAACTGCATGGTGAAAGATCCAGGAATAAAAAGCATCCATGTTACGGCATAACCGAGTGGCTGAAATAATATACAGAAACATCTGGAATAATATACAGGAACACCTGTGCCAAGTATGGACTGGAAGTCCCACAGTCCAAGTGGGAGATGCCACCAGGGGTGGTGGAGAATGGAAGGGCTAAGATGCTGAGGGACTTCCAGATCCAGACCAACAAACAGTTGATGGCTAACCAACTGGACCTGGTGGTGGTCGACAAGCAAAAGAAGAAGGCAGTGGTGATAGATGTAGCAATCTCATTACTGTAACATCAGGAAGAAGGAGCAGCTGGAGGAATACCAAGAGCTGAAAGAGTAAATACAGAAGCTGTGGAGAGTCAAAGTGTCAGTAGTCCCAGTGGTCATCGGAGCGCTCGGTGCTGTGGCCCTCAAAATGCAATGGTGGCTCCAGCAGATCCCAGGAACAACTTCAGAGATCTCTGTCCAGAAGAATGCAGTTCTAGGAACAGCTAAGATACCGAACAGAGCCCTCAGAACCCAGAGTAGGGCAAGT